CTTGGTACGTCTCCTGACTTGCCAGGTCCATCTGCAGGGCGCTGGGTGGAAGTGGAGCAGCTCTGCTGTGATGCTGTCCTTCCAAGCACAGCCTTACATCATTGTGCCACACCCTGGCCCGTCTGGAAAGTTCTGGGGAAGTTTGTACAGAATGCAGGCTATTTCTGCCTTCATTGGTTGGTAGGATTCACCAGTTAACCTGGTGGAGATTGCCTGTTGGTCGTAAGGCTAGCTCTGGTTACTGGTGGTCTCTGGGGAGCTGCGCCTGTGGCGGGTGGGGTGGTGCCCCCCGCGTTGATGTGCTGCTTGCGGTTGCAGCCCCTCCACTGCAGCCCAGGTCCCCGCTAATGCTCTGCAGAGGCAGCAGGTGCGCGCTCCAGCCCTGGGCCTGTCCCTCGCAGGGACTTGCTCGTGGCACGCTGGCCCTGGCCGTGCCCGGCCGCTGCACGCTTTGGCGGGTGAGCCAGCAGGCAGGTCTGTGTTTCTCTGACACTCTGCTTGAAGGAAGGTGAGCGTGGCTTTATGTGCTGTCTGTTTAGTGGACGTAGTTTCTGTAGCAGTTGAACAAGTTGCTCTTAAGTGTTTACAGGATCGGGAATGCCTGCTTCCCTTTTGTTTCACTTATTCCTGCTAAGACTGGCAAGGGCTCTCCCATACAACTGTTTTGTTTAGATTAATTTGTTGCTTTTCCTGTTTTTGCTTTTACCTTTATTATTTCCTTTCTTCCATGTAGTTTGCATTAATTTTGCTATTTTGATTTCTTAAGAAGGAAGTTTATATGATTTATTTAAGGCCTTTTCTGATATATGTATTTAATATTTTTTTAAGATTTATTTATTTTTATTATCAAGTCAGATATACAGAGAGGAGAAGACAGAGAGGACGATCTTATATCCAATGATTCGCTCCCCGAGTGACTGCAACGGCCGGTACTGCGCCGATCTGAAGCCGAGAACCAGTAACCTCTTCCAGGTCTCCCATGCGGGTGCAGGATCCCAAGACCTTGGGCCGTCCTCGACTGCTTTCCCAGGCCACAGGCAGGGAGCTGGGTGGGAAGTGGAGCTGCCGGGATTAGAACCGGCACCCATATGGGATCCTGGTGCCTTCAAGGTGAGGATTTTAGCTGCTAGCCCATGCCGCCCTGCCCCGTATTTAATATTTTAAGATTTTTTTTTTATTATTATTGGAAAGGTAGATATACAGAGAGGAGAGACAGAGAAGAAGATCTTCCATCCAATGATTCACTCCCCAAGTGGCCGCAATGGCTGTAGCTGAACTGCTCTGAAACCAGGAACCAAAAGCTTCTTCTGGGTCTCCCACGTGGATGCAGGTCCCAAGGCTTGGACCTGTCCTCGACTGCTGTTCTAGGTCACAAGCAGGAAGCTGGATGGGAAGCAGGGCCACCAGGATTAGAACCGGCGCCCATATGGGATCCTGGCTTGGACAAGGCAAAGGACTTTAGCAGCTAGGCTCTTGCACTAGGCTCAATGTATTTAATTATTTAATTCTATAAAATGCTGAAAGAATTCCTATCTGAAATTTTGATGTTATATTCTTATTCTGTTCAAAATATTTTATAATTGCCATTATAATTTACTTATTCTTTGATCCTTGGATTATTTCACTACTTTTTTCCTCTGAGAAAGAGAATGAACAGTCCCACCCACTGGCTCACTCCTTAAATGCCCACCGCAGCCGGCACTGGGCACCAGAAGCTCCGTGTCCGCACCATGGCTTACAGGAGTGGGGTGGGCAGCGGGGGTCGCGTGGAGCCCAGGTGCTCCAGCCTGAGGTGGAGGTGTCTTAACCACGGGACCAAAGGCCTGTCTCATGCTCCTACACTGTCGTGTCGTCCTCTTTATCTGGTGTGTGTCCAGTGACCGGGGTGCACGCACATCGTGTCCAGTGACCGGGGGTGCACGCACGGCGTGTCCAGTGACCGGGGGTGCACGCACGGCGTGTCCAGTGACCGGGGGTGCACGCACGGCGTGTCCAGTGACCGGGGGTGCACGCACATCGTGTCCAGTGACCGGGGTGCACGCACATCGTGTCCAGTGACCGGGGGTGCACGCACGGCGTGTCCAGTGACCGGGGGTGCACGCACGGCGTGTCCAGTGACCGGGGTGCACGCACATCGTGTCCAGTGACCGGGGGTGCACGCACGTCGTGTCCAGTGACCGGGGGTGCACGCACGGCGTGTCCAGTGACCGGGGGTGCACGCACGGCGTGTCCAGTGACCGGGGTGCACGCACGGCGTGTCCAGTGACCGGGGGTGCACGCACGGCGTGTCCAGTGACCGGGGGTGCACGCACGGCGTGTCCAGTGACCGGGGGTGCACGCACGGCGTGTCCAGTGACCGGGGGTGCACGCACGGCGTGTCCAGTGACCGGGGTGCACGTACGGCGTGTCCAGTGACCGGGGGTGCACGCACGGCGTGTCCAGTGACCGGGGGTGCACGCACGGCGTGTCCAGTGACCGGGGTGCACGCACGGCGTGTCCAGTGACCGGGGTGCACGCACGATCTCCCATTGAGCGCAGCTCTCAGTGTGCTGCAGTTTAGAGCTGTTTGCCTTGCTTCTCCCTATTTCCAGACATCTGTTGCTACCCTTTCCCCCGTATTACTTTTAAAGATTTGTTTGTTTGAAAGGTAGAGCAGCAGATAGCAGGTCTTACCCTGCTCGTTCCCCAGGCGGCGGCTGCAGCCAGGGCTGGGCCAGGTGAGGCCAGGAGCTGGGCACTTCACCCCTGGGTGCAGGGCCCACACGCTTGGACTTCGGTGTGCTGCCCACCCAGACACATTAGCAGGGAGCTGGAGCAGAAGTAGAGCAGCAGGACTGGAGCTGGCACTGTTGCATGGGACGCCACTGGGCCCGGGTTGAACTTCGCATTGAATCTGCGTATTTGTTTATTTTTTTGAAGATCAGAGTTACAGGGATTTTCCATCCTCTGTCTTCCCCAGACAGCTGCAACAGAGAGATTGAGGATGTAAAAACAGCAATAAGAAGTAAATGCATGGGCCCAACATGGTAGCCTAGTGGCTAAACTCCTCACCTTGCATACAATGGAATCCCATCTGGTTGCCAGTTCAAGTCCCGGAATCCCCACTTCCCATCCAGCTCCCTGCCTGTGGCCTGTGAAGGCAGTGGAGGACGGCCCTAAGCCCTGGGACCCTGCACCCGCGTGGGAGACTCAGAGGAGGCTCCTGGCTTGAGATCTATCTCCTCAGCTCCGGCCACGTGGAGAGTGAACCAGCAGATGGAAGATCTTCCTGTCTCTCCTTCTCTCTGTATATCTGACTTTCCAATAAAAGTAAAGAAATCATTTTTTAAAGAAGCAAATGGAACTTCAGAGATGAAAAAAAATGTTTACTAGAGATATAAAAGAGCAGCTTGTGGCCTGGAAAGCAGGAGAGGACGGCCCACGGCCTTGGGCCCTGGAAGACATTGCTAGCTGCAGGTTGGCTCAGCTCCTGCCATTGCGGCCACTTAGAGAGTGAAACAGCACATGAAGATATTTCTGTCTATACTTCTTTCTGTAACTCTTTCCAATAAAAATAAATAAATTTAAAAAAAAAGCTGCCCCCACAGCAGCAGCTCCCACTGGGGAGCCACGGTGAGGGCTGAGCGGGGGTCCAGGCTTCTGTGCAATTCTGTCTGGAAGGCTTGTGTATGTGAAAGGAAAGGCAGAGCCAGTTCACCCCCTGCTGCGCTAGCAGAGAGCTGGGTGGGAAGTAGAGCAGCTGCGCCATGAGCCAGCAGCCATGGGGGATGCCGGCGCTGTGGGCAGTGGCGTAACCCACGCACCACAGCACTGGCCCGCAGATGGCACACTGAGTGCCCCATGGAGCAGGCGCGCTCTGTCAGGGCCGTCTCCTGCACATGCGATCCCTTCCTGACAGCATCTACCGGCCTCTGCTGCCCTGCGACCAGGTGAGCGTGCAGCCCCCGGGCTCTTGGACCGGCCCTCGCTGCCTTGTGGGATTGTCTCAGCACTGTTGGCCTGCCTTGGGTCCTGGAGGGAACATCTCCCCCTCTCGGTGGGAACCCAAGAAGAAAGACCCTTCTAGAAACTCTGTCCTTCTTGGACCGTGAGAGGTGGTGGTCCTCTAGCAACCTACCTGTGGTGCCTACACGACAGGGTCCTCCTTGGGGCCTGTCGCTGAGGATGAGTGGAGAGAGCTGCTGAGAGGGGCACAGGGAGGGCTTGACTTTGTGTGTCTTTCGTGTGATGTCGGGGTCCTGTCGGTGCCATTGGGTTCTCCCTCTGTCCCTGACCCAGCACAGGAAGTCATGCTGCTGGTTCCTGGGGACAGAGAGGCCTTTTAGGCTGCCCTGGGGTCCCAGCTGGGGTGGCTGCGTGGGTGTCACCTCCCCGAGGAGCACAAGTGTTGTTTCTATAAAACAGAAGAGACACACTGAATGTCCTCATGAGAATAAGAAGTAAACTGTCTCTTTGTCCTTTTTTCTCAGTTGACTCCTTTAAGATAAAAACAAAATAAACGGTAAAAAAAAAAAAATTTTTTTAATGGCCCGCACCAAGCCAGCTTAGTGGCTTAAGTCCTTGCCTTGCATGCACAAGGATCCCATCTGGACGCCAGTTCATGTCCCGGCTGCCCCACTTCCCGTCCAGCCCCTTGCTGTGGCCTGGGAAAGCAGCAGAGGACGGCCCACAGCCTCAAGAACCTGCACCTGCGTGGGAGACCTGGAAGAATCTTGTCTTGGGATGGGCTCAGCTCCAGCTGTTGGGCCCATTTGGAGTGGACCAGTGGATGGACCACCTTTGTCTGTCTCTCCTCTCTGTAACTCTGTCTTTTGAATAAAAATATGTGCTTCGAAAAGTTACAAAGATGTAAAGTGTGGAAAGGTACAGAAGCATTCCAGGGCAGAATCTCGAGTTCGTCTCATGCAGCTTTTACAGTTGTTCCTAACGGGCATCTGTGTGAGCAGTCGATGGAGTCCTTTTGAACATAACCAGCCTATTCTGTTCTGTTTTTAAAGCAGGGCCAAGATTTTCTTCTTCATTCCCAGCTGGGTGCTTCCCAGGCTGAGGCTGGTGGCGGGCGGCTGGCCCTGGGTGCACAGACGCTGTCCTCAGCAGGACTGGGCACAGCTCCCTCGGACGCACCGTGCTCCTGCGAGGCATGCAGTGAGCGCAGGTAGGTGCTGGGAGTCCCTGGACGGGAGCAGGGAGCAGGGTGCTTGGACACTGCCAGCCAACGTGGAGCACCCGAGCGGGACAGTGCCTGGCTGTGACGAGGGGCAGGAAGCTGGGAGTGAACGCGGGCTGTGTCTGCCACGCCCTGAGCTCTGGCCCTGGGAGGAAGCTGGTGGAGTTCCCTGGCCCAGGTGGAGAAGCACCTTGGGAGGCAGGGTTCCCCAGCAGGCCTGTTGCGGGTACGAAGGTCTGGGAGTGACAGCAGAGGGCGCCCCGGAGCTGTGTCAGGGCCGCTGTGAGTCAGCCTGCCTCGCCTGCATGCTGAGAGCTGGGCAGGGCGTCGGCTCCTGGAGCTGCTGGCCCGCCTTCTGTCCTTCAGCTTTGCCGTCTGGTCTGGCAGGAAAGTGAGCAGATTGTCTGGTCCTCTAACTGAAGCTCCGGGTTCCTGTGTTGTGTCTTAGGGACATTTCCTCGGAGACGGACCGGGAGCCCCAGCAGCTGCAGAATTACTGGTCGGAAGTGCGCTACACGGTGCGCTGCATCTACCGGCAGGCGGGCACCCCGCTGGCAGACGACCAGGACCAGTCCTTGGTCCCCGACAAGGAGGGCGTGAAGGAGCTTGTGGACAGGTACACGTGGACCCTCATCCTGCCCTCACGGTGGGCTTTCCTGCTGGCCAGGGGGTTCCAGCCCTGGGTGCAGCTTGCATCTGCCCGGGGGGATGGACCGACCAGAGTGAGCCCTCTGTCTCGGGGTGATGCACGCTTCTGGGCTCACGTAACACCTGCTGCCGGGGCCCTCGGGGCTGCGCGCAGGGCAGGGCAGCTTGGCCCATGGGTGCGGCCTTGTGGAACCGGCCAGCCTGTGGAGTGTGGTGCCGTGCGGGTGCACGTGCGGGGCAGTCACGTGCTCGGCGTCGGCCTGCAGCAGCTGCCCTGTGCCCAGTCGCAGTGCAGGATCTGAAGCAGGCAGCGTTTCCTCTCCCTGATAGCCCAGGCTGGCACCTGCTTCTGCTGTTAGAAGTGACCCATACAAAAGGAATTCCTTTGAAGTGGACACTGTAGTGGTCACTTGTTCTGTTTCAGAGTGCAGCCCCTTTGGGATGTTCAAGCACCATGTTCACTGGGCAGGGATTGCCCGGCGCCCCGGGGCTCGGGGGGGGGGGTCTGGGTGGTGTGTGACTGAGCAGGTAGTTTTCCCGGTGGCTTCATCGGTTATGAATTCTGCATTTGTGATGCTTAGGATCGTGTCCAGCACTTGGTCGGTGCGATGTTTACTCAGGTACTTGGAAACGAAGGTGTGCGTTGCCTGGCCCGCACCTCCGCACTGTCTGCTCTGCCTAAGTACCTCCTGGTTGTTGCTTCACTTATGAAACACAGAAGTAGAGAGCGACGTGGAATGAAAAGCATCTCCTTCCCGTTAGCAGAGCTGTGGTCGTCCTCGCTCCTCTGCGGCTTTCCTCTGACAGATCAAGTGTGTTCTGCTTGACAGGACAGATTTTTATACTGGTCATCAAAATTAAGGTTTTGATGCTAAAAATATAAGTCTGTGTGAAATGTACCGGCGTGGCCAGAATCCCACGAGCTGGGGCTCTCGCTGCATTTGCTGTGACTGTCACAGGGCCGCCGCTCTGCTCTTTGTCGTGGGAACCTGAAGTGGGGCAGTTGGCAGCGTGGGTTCTCTTTGGCCTGGGGTGGGCGCAGGAGATGAGCTGTTGCCGCTGGAAAGCCTGAGGGCTTGCGTTTGCTGCGGGTTGCCGCTCATTTCTGATGGCGTGCTCGGTGGCGGCTGGGCGTTTGAGATGTGGCCGCGGCGGTCCTGGCCTGCTGGCTTCTCAGAGATGAGCACGGCAGCAGCTCAAGTAATGCAGGTACGGGAGAGATTGCGGAGTGAGCCCAGGGGCAGGGCTGCGTTCATTTCCCCCTCCTTTTCAGCTCACACAGTTTATTCTGCTTTCTGTTGTCTTTCTCAGTGGATAGGCTGCCTCTGTTCTCTGCTTAGAGAGCTCAGAGCAGCCCAGATGTGTGGTGCACCGGGTTCCTGGAAGGCAGCAGGGCGAGCGCTGGCTCAGCCTGCGGCGGGCAGCAGCCCTGTGGGCATGGTGCCCCCGTTCACGGGAGCCTTCAGGAGCCCAGGCTGGCGTGGTGGCACTCTGCCAGGCTCCGCACAGAACATGCGCATCAGTGGGCATGGGCAGCCCGTGGGCTCAGTAGACCTGAGGAAAGGTTTAGAACAGACGTTTGGTGAAATGAGGCATGTCTGCCACAGGCCTGTGTGGGCAGCCCAGCTGAGTGGTGGCTCTTGCCCTGCAGGCTCTGTGAGCGGGACCCCTACCAGCTGTACCAGCGCCTGGAGCAGCAGGCCCGGGAGTACGTTCTGGAGGTGAAGGTCCGTCTGCTGCGGCAGCTGTCCACCGCAGCCAAGGCCAAGGTGCCTGCAGGTCTGCAGGGCCCACCGCAGGCACACCACTTCATCTCCGTCCTGCTCGAGGAGTACGGCGCCCTCTGCCAGGCGGCACGCTGCATCAGCACCTTCCTCAGCACGCTGGTAAGAGCAGGGCCACAGACAGGAAGCTGTGTGGGTGGGGGGCGTCTCTGAAGCCAGGGCACTGTCCCGGACCCCTTCTTCCAGAGGGCCCGGTCGCTCCAGGCCAGTCCTCCGGATGCAAGTGCTAAGCAGACGGGCTGCTGTGGCCGGGAGCGGAGGGCCTGTGTGCCCACCTGTGGGTGGCCCGCGCAGCTAGCGTGCTCTCATCCAGCAGGCACAGGGCTGGGCGGGCCCCGTGGACTGGAGCTGCCGGGGCGCTGACAGCTTCCGCAGGCAGCCCGCCGTGCTGGGGGCGGCGACATTGATGGAAGCAGGGTCCTGCTCCGTGAGGTCGACCTCAGTGCACCTGATGCTCCCGGAGACCAACACCAATGCTTTCTTGGGGTTTGTTTTCCTTGTTTTATACATGTCTGTTATTTTTATTTGAAAGGCAGAGTTTAGAGAAAGATCTTCCATCTGCTGGTTCACTCCAAAACCAGGAGCCAGGAGCTCCTTCCGGATCTCCCGTGTGGGTGCAGGAGTCCGAGGACTTGGGTTGTCCTCTGCTGCGTCCCCAGGCCATTAGCAGAAGCTGGATTGGAGTGGGACAGCCAGGACTCGCAGCGTGCCCACGGAGCACACATGTCGAGATAAGCAGTAAGGTCCTAAATGCACACAAGTGGCAGATACAGGCTTTCCAAATGTCTGGTTTTTGCTTGAAAGTTGAAATTTTATGTCCAGCCACAAACAGTGTCCCTTGTCTTTGTAGCACCAGGGTCACTGGCTGTGTGAACTCTCAGTTAATTCCCTGCTAACTTGCCTAGCTTCTCGGTGACCACCCGAGCCCCTGCACTGTCAGTTGCGCTCAGAAATGCGATGACCTAGTGGCTAAATTCTCATCTTGCATGCCCTGGGATCCGATATCGGCACCAGGTCAAGTCTCAGCTGTTCCACTTTCCCATCCAGCTCCCTGCCTGGGACGTAGGAAAGCAGTCGAGGACGGCCCAAAGCCTTGGGTCCCTGCACCCATGGGAGACCCGGAAGAAGCTTCTGGCTTTGGATCGACTCAGCTCTGGCTATTGTGGCCATTTGGGGAGTGAACCAATAGGTGGAAGACCTTCTTCTCTGTCCTTCCTTTCTCTGTAGGTCTGCCTTTCCAATAAAAATAGACACATTTTCATTTTTATAACAAGGGTGGGACTCAATGTAACCCCGACATGGTGGAAATCCACGAAATGTACATTTCCTCCGCAGACACAGGAGGATGTAAAGCTTGTGTTTGTAAGCACCATCTCTTGCATCTTGCAGAACTGTTCCCCAGAAGGTGGGAACTCAGAATGTGTGAGTGGAAAAGGCGGATTACAAATCCTTGACACACCTTATCTGCCTGGAAGTGGGCACACCCCTTCCCCGACCCCTGCCCACCCCCTCTGTGCCTTGGTGGCCTCTCTGTGGCTGGGTGGGCGCACACCTCCCCGACCCCTGCCCACCCCTTTGTGTGCCTTGGTGGCCTCTCTGTGGCTGGGTGGGCGCACACCTCCCCGACCCCTGCCCACCCCTTTGTGTGCCTTGGTGGCCTCTCTGTGGCTGGGTGGGCGCACACCTCCCCGACCCCTGCCCCATGTACTTTATGCGGTCTGGGTAAGTTACGGCCCCTGCAAGCCGCCTAGATGTTGGTGAGGCCTGCCTACCAGCTGTGCCTGGCAGTGTGGTTGGGAAGCCCCTGCTGAGACACCATGGCCTGTCGGAGCGCCTGGGCTCAGTGCCCAGCTCCGCCCTGAGAGGCAGTTGGGCATGGCTCGAGTGCTTGTATTCCTGCCGCCCGTAGGCTGGCTGTAGTGGCACACAACCAGTTGTTGGCACAAGTTGGACTCTGAATTAACTCCAGGTTGATTTGAGCTTGTGCAGTGAGGTCTGCTGTTAATCTTGCGTGCCTCACTCAGAAGTGAGACATAACCAAAGTGGCAAGTACTTTGGCGCAGCAGTCTTCATGCGGCGCTGTCCGTTGTGTGGGTCACCCTGTGGGCTGAGCAGCGTCAGGAGCACAGCTGCTCGGAGGTGTCCGGCGGGGCCTCGCCCCAGCTGTGGGAGAGAGGAGGCAAGACATGGCCCCTGTGGCACTGCCCTAGCTCCTGCATGCTGTTCCTCCTGGGTGGCGTGCCGTACCTCCCTGCCCAGGGCCTCCAGGTGGGGAGGGTTTGCTGCAGCGGGTGGTTGCACGTGCTGCGGCTTCTCGTTCCAGGCTGGGGGCCACGTTCCCAGGTCACCCGACGCTGGCCTCCAGCCATGGGCGACTCCTGCGCTCAGTGAGGCTGACAGGTGCTTGGAGTGAAACAGGACTGATGAGCTCAGGCCTGGGCCGTGCTGGCATTTGGATGAATGAGAACGCACGCTGGGCGTGTTGGCAGAAGGCAGCAGTGAGGGGCCTGCCCGTGGCCCTAGTGGTGTGAGGACACTGGTGCGGCCAGCGCACTGCGCAGTGGAGATGGCTGTGCGCCCTCTGCCACCTTGTCTTCAGGTCACACAGGGGGATTCTGTGGTGAATTGATAAACTGTCCTTTCAGTTTGGCTGATCTGTAAACAGGCAGACCACTGAATGCAATCAGTTCTGAGAAGACTTTTTTTTTAAATTGGAAAGGCGAACTTACAAAGAAACGGAGAGACAGAATGGTCTTCCGCGCGCTGGTTCAATCGCCAGTGGCTACATTGACCGGAGCCAAGTCAGTCCGCAGCTTGGAGTCTCCTCCAGGTCTCCCACGTGGGTGCAGGGGCCCAAGCGCTTGGGCTTTCCTCTGCTGCTTTCCCAGGCCACACACAGGGAGCTGGGAGGGAAGTGGGGCAGCCGGGATGTGAACCAGCGCCCATAGGGGGTCTCAGAGTGTGCAAGACAAGGGCTTAGCCAGACAGATGATGCTTTGTCTGCGTCTCTGCTCCTCTCTGTAACTGCCTTTCTGGAGGTGGGAGGGGTAGAGAGAGCGAGCGAGATGGGTGATTCTTGGAGAAAGGAAGGCTTGCCTTTCCTTCACGGCCTGGTTGGGAGAGGACCTGCGACACGTGCAGCTGTGTCTCTTGTCGAGCTGTGGCTGTGGTTACGGAGGGGATGCAGGCGGCCAGGCGCTGTGTGCCTGGGGACCTGCCTGGTGGCGCTCAGCAGCACGGTAGGTGAACGAGAGTCCATCTGGGAATGGGCCAGGCTCCATCAGTTCATATCTGCCTTTTTTTATTATTATTATTACTATTAGGAAAATGAACATTTGAGAAAGTTCCAGGTGACCTGGGAACTGCATAATAAGCACCTATTTGAGAATCTCATCTTCTCGGAGCCACTCGTGCAGAACAGCTTGCCGGCGCTGCTGTCACAGATCAGGTATCGGTCTCAGCCCTGCACCTGCCGTGCACACCCCTGCATCGGCGGCTTCCTGGGAGAGGGGACCTATGAGGGAGGGCACAGCAGGAAGGCCAAGAGGCTCACGTAGGGGGACTCCACACATGCGAGAAAGCTCGCATGGAAGTTCATGCTCTGACCACGCTCGTGCTCCACTCGGGGCAGCGGTGTGGCTCGTGCTGAGGGGAGTCAGGGGCCCGCAGCACCCCCAGGATAAGACGCACACTGGCATCTCTGCAGTGCCCCTGGGCACCCCAAATTTCACATCTTTGTTTTCCCTTTGGGTCCCATACTCTGAGTGTCCAGAACCTCGGGGTCATCTTCCTGATTCCTGTTCCTTGGCGTCGAGAAGACGCCCAGGCTGAGTGCTTGGTAGAGCAGTGTGGCCTGTGTGTGGACGCTACTCTGCTGCTCCCAGGGAGCCCTATGCCAGCTCGTTCTCTGCACACAGCACCCAGTGTGTGGCCCTTGAAAGGGGAGAGGGGCCTAAGGTAGTTGTCCCACCATGGAAAGGTGACCATTCTGGGATAGCTTTGTTGCCTACTTCCATTATCAGATTATGTAGTGATGCAGATACAATTCTGAAAACGTTTAGATACCGTAAATGATTTGGTGGTTGTTGATACAATTCTTTGATACTGTGGCACGATGCTTTAGTTGTTTACCTGGTGCTGGCTGTGTTTCCATTTCAGAGCGTGTGTGTGTGTGTGTGTGTGTGTGTGTGTGTACACATGTGCATATGTACAGTAGGTATGGGAGTGGAGGGGCATGGGTCACAGTGTGTGTCTGCCCCGGTCCCTAGTGTGGAGGGGCATGGTTAGGGTTAGTGTGTGCCTAGCCCTGGTCCCTAGTGTGGAAGACGTGGTTAGGGGTGGGGTTGGGGTTAGGGTTAGGGTTGGGGTGTGCCTGCCTCTGGTCCCTGGTGTCTGTCAACATGGACCCCCCCGGGAAGCTTCTGGCTGTGTGTAACCTTTGCTGTTGATATACTTTAAGTGTGGCCTATGGTGCCAGATAAACCTGATCAAAATGTCTGTATTCCAGTTATTTTAATTCACATACTGAGATAATTAGGAAGTAAGAAAATGCATTTTAAAAGTGAATCCTGCTTTGAAAGGCGTGCCTACTAACTCTGACACAGCACTGCTGTGCTGTGTGCTGTGCCCCTCTGGCCCTGGGAGAAGAGCTCACCAAATCCCACAGTAGCAGCAGGAAAGAGTGCTCGGGGCTCCAGCTCAGCACCCTTGGGCTCTTGCTTCTGTTACGAGGCCTTCTTCCTCCCAGGTTAGGAAGCACCACGCACGACACGTGCCGTGAGGACACGTACGGCACCTTGCTGCAGAGGTACCAGCGCTCCGAGGAGGAGCTGCGCAGGGTGGCCGAGGAGTGGCTGGAGTGCCAGAAGAGGATCGATGCTTACGTGGACGAGCAGGTGAGGGCGTGGAAGATGGGCAGGGCACAAGTGCCCAACACCTGGCAGTGCTTGGGCTGCGGTGGCTGCAGCTGGGCAGGTCTTTCCCACGTGGGCTGCCCCACTGTTGCCCACACCGGCAGCCCGCCAGGCTCGATTCATGCTGGGAGCACAGTGGCCCCGAGGAGCCTCGGTTTGCTCAATACTGCTCATTCAGAGCTCGCTGCTGGGGTGCTCAGGGACCCGGATGTGCTTGCAGTTGGCAGGTGATCCAAGGGTGTGGCGGGTGGGTGGCAGGACAGGTTTGCCAGCGGTGGGCCTGAGGGGGTGGTGCGTTGGCAGCCAGAATGCCTCAGTGGCCGGCAGCAAACAAGTCTGCACGAGGATATTCCCGCCAGCCACCCTGGCCTGCTCTGCTTGACTGGAGGAGTCACATGGAGTACAGAATGGGGTCTAAGAAGATGACATCTTAGACTGTGTAGGTTCTGGTGCTGCCGGACCCAGTCTGTGCTGGGCTCTGAGGCCACTCTGACACACTGACTTTTGCCCCTGTGACGTCCCTGTGTGCCTGAGGAAACCCTGGGCAGAATAGGCTGCTGGCTATTGCTGCCTCCTGCGGTGTCGCTCTGGAGGCGTGGACACTGTGTGGCAGGACCTGGCTCCCTCAGGGGTGAGGCGCAGGCTGGCCTTTCTGTTCAGTGTCCCTGGTCATCCCAGACTCTGCATCCTTGATCCCACCTCGGGTCCACACCCCTAGTGAGGAGTTCCTGGATGCCACCTCGGGTCCACACCCCTAGTGAGGAGTGCCTGGATGACATATGCACAGCTCAGGTCAACTGTCTCCTGCGGGCCTGGCCTGGCCCTGCTCTCCTGCAGGTCTGGCCCTGCTCTCCTGCGGGTCTGGCCCTGCTCTCCTGCGGGTCTGGCCCTGCTCTCCTGCGGGTCTGGCCTGGCCCTGCTCTCCTGCGGGTCTGGCCTGGCCCTGGTCTCCTGCGGGTCTGGCCTGGCCCTGGTCTCCTGCGGGTCTGGCCCTGCTCTCCTGCGGGTCTGGCCTGGCCCTGCTCTCCTGCGGGTCTGGCCCTGCTCTCCTGCGGGTCTGGCCCTGCTCTCCGAGGAGAGTCTGTTTTCAGGAGGACAGCCTCCCTCAGGTACATTTCCGCAGCCAAAGGTTACTCCGGAGCTTGGCTTCTCCCTGTCATGGCTCCTTGGCCCAGGCCACTATGGACTGAGTGTGCAGCCAGCCTACGGCTGCCCTGAGGGGGCGGCTGATGGACAGGGAGCCAGCAGAGGAGGCACTGGGAGCTGCTCCCGTTCCCTGGTCAGGAGGTGGCTGTGCTCATCCTTGGCGCGGCCAGGAGGCAGGAGGAGTGAGGGCTTGGGTTGGGTAGGTGACAGCTGCAGTGTCTGTCCAGGAAGGAGTGACCTCAGCGTGTGACAGTGTGGAGCCCTGGTGTCCTGGGCCCTGAGCAGGGCCCTGCGGGACAGCTGTGTCCCCTGAGCCCTCAGGTCGCCCTTCTCTGTGGAGTCAGGTGCCCACCGTGAGGTAACTGCTTGGGCAGCTCCGGTGACTTCCTGTGCCAGGGACTGTGCAGGCCTGGTCCTGGAGGCGATTAGTGTCTGAGGCGCCGAGAGTGAGGGACACAGAATTCTCACCCTGGGGCCTTCAAGGAGACAGTGAAGTGTGAGAAGCTGGGGATCTGGAAACTTCTCTGAGCCAGAATTTCCTTGTGCAGGCATCCGTGCTGCCCACCTAATGCAGCAGTCTTATCACTGTTGCGTATAGGCTGTGAACCACTTAGGACCTCCAGGGGAATGGAAGGAACTTAGATGAGGAGCTGTGAAGGTGGGTGGGCCTTGCCGAGCACTGTGCCGGCCGTGTGCCGGGAACCGTGTGGTCACTGCCCCAGTGTGGGTGACCTGAGGCTCCCCAGGCCTGCGGGGTTGGTGTCATGAGTGTGTATCCTTGGGGCTGTCCTTACGCATGTGTGTTCTGTAAGTAGAGTCGTGGATGGTTTCTCCATGGCCCCAGTGGAGCTGTAATTCAACATGAAAATGGCCCAGAGCAGCTCTGAGGAATGAAAGCAGAAGCTCCCTTGCCGAGGCTGGTCGGTCCTTGCTGTACTCGTGGTCTGGAGTAGTGTAACAGGCAGTACAGTCACTGCTTTCCTGGTGACACTGGGGAGTCGTACAGCCTCACTTACAGACGGAAGCTGCCGGCTGGCTCAGTGGCTCTGGGGGTCAGGTTGGCCCTCTGAGCACCTGCCTCAGGCCTGGGCATCCCTGGCTGGGCCTGCTGGGTAGTGAACCAGCAGGTGGGAGAGTTCTCTCCCTGAGTCCCTGTCTCTGCCTTTCAGATAAATAAAATATTTCTGAAAGAATGAAACTGAAATTGGGAATTTATCTCTTTAGAATAGTGCATGTATGTGTGTGTGTATATGTATTTTTTTTCCTAAAAGTTTATCAGTCTACTCACCAAATCAATCAGAAAGTTTTTCTTACTTTAGCTCTCTTTGAGAAATAAGACTCAATAAAACAAGCTAGAAAATGAAATACCTAAGTCACACTTGGGGCTTTGGAGGCAGCGCTGCCCGAGACCGCGAGCCCTCCGCTCTGGCTGTTCTGAGTCCAGGGTGTGGGCCGGCTCCCGCTCCCTCCACTGTGGGCATCGCCCCTTGCTCAGCTTGGCACCCTTGGGGCATCGCCCCTGTGCTGCTGTGCAGGAAGCGCTTCGGAAAAGCAAAGATTTTGTAATCCCGAATACTTAGAAAATAATTGTGTCCATGCCTGCAGCTCACCCTTTCTTCATCTTCATAGTCTCACATGTATGTAAGCTTAGAGCTACCCAAACTTGTTCCTCCCCAAATAATTTTATTCAAAGTAAGTGAAGGAGGGGCAAAGAGGAGGAGATTGGCTATTCAATTTTTTGGTCTTGTTGCTTTTACATTTTATTTTAAAGGAAAAGAAACAGAGTTCTCATCCTGTCTGCTGATTCCCCCCGAATGCCCACAGAGCCAGGCTGAAGCCAGAAGCCCTGAACCGATCGGGGTCTCCTGCACGGATGACGTGGTCTCGGTCCCTGAGCCATTACTGGCCACCACGCTCGTAGAAAGCTGGGACCCGGATGAGGCGCCCTGACATGGTGTGTGGGGGTCCGCAGCAGCGCCTCAGCCCTGGGCCAGATTCCCCCAAGGAGGTTTCATTTCCAGGAGTTTCCTCACAGCTCTTTGGAGTTCTGTTCTGATTTCCACGACATGCTCTCGCCTTCAGCACACTGCGCTGACTTCAATGGGCGGTGCTGGCAGGACTAGCTCCTTGGAAAGTGGTTTTCCCCAAATTATAGACACACGTATAAAACAGGAAGACTGACATCACTGTCTAATGTTCCCAGACAGTGGTATGTTTTGTCTTTGGTTTATTTATTTTTTGTGCATACTGGTTGTAAGGTACATTTTTATTCTTTCGGCTTGTTTGTTTTAGAGGTTTATTTATTTGAAAGCAGCATTACAGAGACTCTTCAATTCACAGGTTCACCCCCCAGACAGCCTCAGTGGCCAGGACTAGGCCAGGCCAAAGCAGGGGCTCCTCCAGGTCTCCCACGTTGGACCTGGGCCAGGTGCAGTAGCAGAAAGCTGGATTGGAAGTGGAGAAGCTGGGATTGAATTGGCAACTGTGGGATGCCTACACTGCAGGCTGCAGGTCCCCAAGGTGTGTCTGTTTCTGAGTTGCCCGGTGCCTTGGGCCCACCGCCTCCTCGCAGCCCTCAGTGGCCGGAGGAGAGCGCTGTCACCTGGTGTCTCAGCCTTCCGTTACTTGAGCTTTTTCATTTGCTTTTAAACTCCAGTTAGAATGTTCAAAGCTACAAGCATCTGATAGCAGCACATGGCTTCATGGGAGCTTCGCAGATTTCACGATGAAGTTTGACACTTTTTAACAAATTACAGAAGTTTACTTTGTTTTTGCTCATTTCAGTTTTTTGACAATACAAACCAATAGGTGAAATCTGTGACTTTTCTTCCCTTTCTCTCATTAGTTCTCCGTGTGTCTGCCTTGGTTAGGACTGGGCCAGGGCGGAAGCTAGAAATCACGCATCCAGTTGAGGTCTCTGAGGAGACTGGTAGGAACCCAGTGAGGCTCCTGGTGTGAGGACCCAGTTCAGGGCCCACCTGGGACCCAGGGGTCCTAGCTGGTAGGCAGCTCCCACCCTTACCTGCTGCTGTATGGGCAGCAGTTCATTTCCCAGCTGCTCCACTTCGCATCTAGCTCTCTGTGGCCTGGGAAACCAGTAGAGGATGGCCCAAAGACTTGGAACCCTGCACCTGCATGGGAGACCCAGGAAAAGCTCATAGCCCTGGATTGGCTGAACTCCAGCATTGTGGCCATTTGGGGAGTGAACCAGCAGATGGAAGATCTGTCTGTCTCTCCTCTCTGTAAATCTGCCTTTCCAGTAGAAATAAATGTTAAAAAAAAAAAAAAAAAGCAAACTATTAAAAGATTTTCTTGCATTCCTTGGAATAAACCCTATTAAGTTATGGATGTTATTCTTTAATCCAGTATTAGATTTGTTTATCTGATATTTTATTTAGGAGTTTAATTTTTTTTTTTTTTAAGTTCTGAGTTGCATTTTTTTGGTCTTTGGGTTTCGTATACAGATGTTGTAGCTTTGTGGGGTGGATTGCAAACGTGTGTTTTCCCGTGTTCTCTCTGAGGAGAGCCTTGTCGGCCGTGGGAGCCAGACGAGGAGCGCGGGTGTGCCGTTTCACTGACTTTACATTTTCTTCCGCTTGTTGGATTGGATTTAAAGGTTGACTTTGCTAAGGAAGGTGTCTGCGTTATTGAGGGCTGGAGAACAGGACGTGGTGCAGGGAGGTCGGGGCCAGAGCTGGGAGGGAGCCGGGCGGGAGGTTGCGCACCTGCTGGGTCCCTCGGTGCGGCTGTTCATTGCACCCTTGTTGACGACGATGCTTGTATGTATCGTTTTCTACATCTACCTTTGAAAATGTCCTGTGTTGTTTTTGCCAGTTTAGAGCTTATTATTTTTTTAAATGTTTTTTTTTACATCTCCTGACTAGATGACAATGAAAACCAAACAGCGCATGTTAACAGAAGACTGGGAGCTTTTTAAACAAAGAAGGTTCCTCGAAGAACAGGTGAGGTTAGCAGGAGGAGGGGCGGTGAAAGCAAGCATTGGAGGGCCGGGCTGTGTGCTGCTCTGAAGACAGCGCAGCTTCCCTGTCAGCTCAGGCTACACGGTGCTTGCCGAGTGGCCTCTGCCAGCCCAGGCACTGCCGGCTCCAGCTTATGCTCTGAGCAAGTGACAGGTGAGGCCCAGGAGCGGGGCTGGACCTGGCCTGGCACAGCTCCAGGTGCTGTCTGGCCGATCTCACCTCCATGTTAGCTTGCCCTACATCCCTGCTGCTGACTGCCCTGGGCCTCGTCTCGGGGCTCTCGGTTGTATGGGGGAGCCCACTTTCCTGCCCCTCTGGGGGGGCTCTGCTTCTGAGGCCAGCCTCGCAGTCTCCATTGAAGCTCCACATCCTTGGTCTTCCTTACAAGTTTGAGTTTCCTGGCCCTGCGCCTCCCTCCATTCACACCCATGGTTTGCTGGGCACTGCAGGGAGGCAGGTAGTGTGTGTCCTGCCCTGTCGGGGAGCCCTTGCAGCGCCCGTCGCTCCCCTGCCGGAGGGGTGAGTGCAGAGTGTCACTTCTTAGAAAGCTTTCAGGCCCGCACCCTCGCAGTCTGGGTGTGCTGCCGGCTGTGACGAGCAGGGAGGGGTTTGCGGCACCTGGGCCCCGGTGTGCCCCTGCCCTGTCCTGCTGCGGGGCGGTGCCACCGGCTTCCTGGTGAGCATCGTTACTGAGACACATGTGCCCTGTGTCGGGGGAAGTGTCCAGCACATATAAACCATGAATGTTTCCTCCAGTTGACCAGTAAGAAAGCCGCTGCTGGTGAGAACCACTTCCCAGACACCGTGAGGCACGTGCTTTCCTCACGCCTGAGCATGCCCGACTGCCCCAACTGCAACTACCGGCGGAGGTGAGCTGCGGCGGGATGGCTCCCGCTCACGGTCTGTCCCCCCTCAGATGGGGCCTGTGGGGACCCAGGGCAGCCTCTGGTGGCCCCCGCTCACGGTCTGTCCCCCTCAGATGGGGCCTGTGGGGACCCAGGGCAGCCTCTGGTGGCCCCCGCTCACGGTCTGTCCCCCTCAGATGTGCCTGTGACGACTGTAGCCTCTCCCACATCCTCACTTGTGGCATCACCGACGACATGCACCAGCTCCCGCTGCACGTGGACGCCGCCCCCGACGGGGTCCCTGAGATGCGCCCACCTAGCGTGTCATCAGCCAGCTCGGGCTCGGGCTCCAGCTCTCCCATCACAATCCAGCAGCACCCCAAACTCATCCTCACAGGCAGTGGCTCCACACCAGCTTTGTAAGTTGTGACTTTGTCATAAAATTTCAGAAATTGAAGTCATCCAGTAACGAGAAATACAGTAATATCTACAGAAGTGTAAACCTCATTCTCTGTTTCAAGCAGCATCTAAAACATGAAATCCAGTTTGACACTGTTTCATTTCCTGAAAAAATATGTAGCCCATTCATCAAGAGCAGTGCGGCACATGTGTCAGTGAGCGGAGCGCCTCCGTCCTGGCCTCCGTCCCGGCCTCGGGCCTGTGGGTTCCGGGAGGGTGGCTGGCCCACCTCCTGTCCGTCCCGGCCTTGGGCCTACGGGTTCCGGGAGGGTGGCTGGCCCACCTCCTGTCCGTCCCGGCCTCGGGCCTGCGGGTTCCGGGAGGGTGGCCGGCCCGCCTCCTGGCTTGCTGAGAGCCCAGTGATCACTTCAGAGAGGGATTCAAAGTTGGTGTTCTGTCTCCGCGCTGTGAGAGGAGCATGTCACCCTAGCACGGGGCTGTCGCTATTCCGCACCTTGGGTCACGGAGCCTTCTGGAAGGGTTGCACACAGGCGTGGCCTTGTGACTGAGAGCCCTGGGCTTCTGTGCATGTCTGGGGGAATGGGCCTGCTTCTGGAGGCACCCCCAGGAAGGTTTGTTGCCCCAACGGTGGCCGAGGGACATGGGCCTACCCCTCCACGAGGATTGTCCATCTCTCTGATGTCCTTCAGAGTTCATTTCACAGACTAATCCGGAAGGCTGGCCTGAGATGCGCTGTGTGTTAGGCGGCTGCTTTGTGGTCGGCAGTGCTGGCGAGCACTCCAAGGGCACGAGGAGGGCTGCAGGTGCAGTTCAGGTCCACTGTGAGGCCGGGCACTGACCACAGGAGCCTTTCTCAGCTGGACGCTGCCCACACCCAGCCTCTAACACAAACCACTGTGAGCCAACAACGGCCAGGGTTTCCTTGCTTGGTTTCCATTTTTCATTGGTTAACTAGAATACTGGACTTTCCATCTTTCTGGTTGTTAAAGGCCAGTCATGTTAATGACAGTTGAGGACACGTGTCCTTTCCCCAGTTGCCCCAGACCCCAGGAGGCCAGGCCACTTCACCTGTAGGGGCGTACATGCTCCTTGTGTCGGCTCCTGGTCATGAGCAGCACTCTGCCAAGGTCTCCAGTTCTTCAGATTTGTACCTTCTTGAAGTCTCGAAGGCTGAAGACGGGCTGGGCAGCCTGCGGAGTGAGGCCTGGGTGGCCAGGAGAGCCGCAGCTGCAGAGCACTCCAGGCTTGAGCTGGCCTCTGCTCTCTCAGGAGTTCTGCTGTGGGCCACTCGTTAGAGTCTCAGGAACGTTGGTGCTTATTCACATGACGGACTCGACCAAAGCAGGCTTTGTGATGACCAAGACTAGTTAATATTTTGTTTTGGTCCACTGTCTGTTTCTGCAATGTGGATGGTTATAAAAGCAAGCAAACACTAGAGAGCTGCTGGAACAGGGAACAGAAGCAGTGCTGTGTCCACAAGGGGCAGTGGGTGACCCGTGGGGCAGTGCGTGACCCGTGGGGCAGTGGGTGGCTCGAGGGACAGTGGGTGACCTGAGGGGCAGTGCTATGTCTACGAGGGGCAGTGTGTCCATGAGGGGCAGTGCGTGACCCGTGGGGCAGTGGGTGGCCCGTGGGGCAGTGCTGTGTCTGCAAGGGGGAGTGCGTGACCTGTGGCAGTGCTGTGTCCACGTGGGGCAGTGTGTGACCCATGGGGCAGTGCTATGTCTACGAGGGGCAGTGCTGTGTCCATGAGGGGCAGTGGGTGGCCCGAGGGACAGTGGTGACCCGTGGGGCAGTGGGTGGCCCGAGGGGCAGTGGGTGACCCGGGGGGCAGTGTTGATCTGTGTGTTTGTCTCAGCTGCAGTGATGATGAAGAAGTGGCCCCGCCCTCGGCCAAGTTTGCTGATATCTACCCCCTGAGCAACTACGATGCTGCTGAGGTGGTGGCTGGCATGAATGGAATCCACAGTGAACTGAACGGTGGTGGCGAGAACATGGCCCTGAAAGGCGAGGTACACAGGGGCGGAGCATGCGGGCGGACGGGCGAGGGAGTGTGGGCGTGCAGGTTGCACACGGAGCTCTTTAAAGTCCCCTCAGGTCAGCAGTGCCAGCAGCAGCTCCTCAGACGCTGATGATGACGAGGCGGACGGCGAGAGTAGCGGGGAGCCGCCCGGGGCCCCGCAGGCAGAGGGAGCGCTGGGCGAGCAGGAGCGGCCCGCCGAGAGCCCGCCCCCGTCGTACCCAGCTCAGCAGGTGCGGGTTACGTTTTCCACTTGCCTGTTTGGTCTCTGTGGATAGTGTCTCTAAGTATTGAGTCCATTTGAATTTAAAATTTGAGTAATTCCTGAGCATTAAAATGAAAGTGTCCGAGCACACTCACTAAACACCTGCAGACTGTGCTGTGGGGCTGTGCGTTAGCCACCACGTGGGACGTCCACAGCCCAGACTTGAGGACCTGCTTCCCGTGCTGCTGCTTGCCCGCCAGGGCACCTGGGCAGCAGCAGAGGGTGGCCCGTGTGCTTGGGTCCCTGCACCCGCGTGGGCCATCAGGTGGAGTTCCTGGGCCACAGACCTTAAGAGAAAGCCATGTAATAATTTGGGTGAAGTTGACCTAGGAGCTGTCCCCTTTGCTGCCTGCTGGGGAGCAGGGGTCTCGAACCTACAAGGTGGATGTGCTTTAGAGGTGTCTGCTCTGCAGTGTTTTCCCAAGGTCTGTAGGTATGTGTTGCAGTGTGTTGAACAAACACCTCCCTTCCAGGGGCTCACCTCTGCGGCAGCCAGCTGATGGGAGTCAGGCAGCCTGAGACGTCGGGCACAGGCCCAGGATGGGACGCAGCCCCCTTGGAAGTGGGGCGTGGCTCCTCAGCTGCTCGCAGACCTCTCGGAGTTTTTAGGGTGTCTTTTGTAGGGGAAAAGCTTTCGGTTCTGATGTCTTGCAGTTGTTTTTCCTTTGTGATTCCTGCTTTGCTAAGTAACCCAGGAAAACCGCCTGCTGTGAAGTGTCTTCCTTTCAATCTGTAGTTTTGAGTCTTTCTCAAGGTCTGTGGCCTGTAAAGCTCCGTGTTGGCTCGCGTCATCCGTTTAGGACATAGTCCAAGTTCATTCACTGCATCATGTGGGGATACAGTTGTCCTGGTGCCTGTTGAGTTGCTCAGCTGTTTGTTAGACACCTAGGTGCTGTGAGCACGCCATGCTGCCGTCTGCCTCCTGCCCGGGGCGCCCCGGCGGCCACGCTGTGGTCAGCTGGAGCTCGGGCCCTGCCGCGCACAGGCCTTCGATCTCAGGGCCGCTTTCAGATCTCCTCGTCCGTTTCTGCAAACAAGGCGACTTGAGGAGCTCTCAGAACTGATGGGGAGGTGCAGGGGTCGTTCGTTTGGGTGTGAGGACGAGGAGCAGTTTGGAGAGAATCCAGTCGTAAGACAGTGTTTTGATTGCACAAACCTCTGTAGTTTCTCTTTCATTTCATTCACCTTTAATTTCTCTTAGTCTTTTTCTTCCCAACATTTCAAAATGTGTGTGTATAAGGAATTCCTGTAGAACAGGCCGCGTGAACCTGTAGGGTGTGCAGTAAGGTACAGAAACATAAGTGAGTTTAAAAGACAAGCAAGAGAAGTAGGCAAACCGGACTGCGTCAGCAGAGAACGTAGACTGTAAGATACGTCAGGACAAGCACCCTAAACATCAAGGGAACATTTTTTTTTCTGGGCCCAGTGCGCTAGCCTAGTAGCTAAATTCTCACCTTGCATCTGTCAGGCTCCCGTGTGGGTGCCAGTTCATGGCCCAGCTGTTCCACTTCCATCCAGCTCTCTGCTTGTGGCCTGGAAAAGCAGTGGAGGACGGCCCAAAGCCCAGAGACCCTGCACCTGCATGGGAGACCCAGAAGAGGCTCTGGACTCCTGGCTTCAGATTGGTTGAGCTCTGTCTATTGCAACCTCTTGGGGAGTGAACAACGGATAGAAGATCTTTCCCTTTTTCCTCTCTGTAAATCTGACTTTCTATTAAGAAAGAATAATTTTTTTTCTTAAAGATCTATTTATTTTTATCACAAAGTCAGATATACGGAGAGGAAGATCTTCTGTCCGATGATTCACTCCCAAGTGAGCGCAACAGCTGGTGCTGCGCTGATCTGAAGCCAGGAGCCAGGAGCTCTTCCGGTCTCCTATGCAGATACAGGATCCCAAGGCTTTGGGCCGTCCTCGACTGCTTTCCTAGGCCACAGGCAGGGAGCTGGATGGGAAGTGGAGCTGCCAGGATACGAACTGGCGCCCATATGGGATCCTGGTGCATTCAAGGTGAGGACTTTAGCCGCTAGGCCACAGCTTCGGGCACAAGAAATAATAAATCTTTAAAAAAAAAAAAATTCGGGCCCGGCGCAATGGCACAGTGGTTAAGGTCCTCACCTTGCACACCCGGGATCCCATATGGGCACTGGTTCTAATCCTGGGAAGGCAGTTGAGGACGGCCCAAAGCTTGGGACCCTGCACCTGTGTGGGAGACCAGGGAGTGGCTCCTGGCTTCGGTTTGGCTCAGCTCCAGCCATTGCGGCCACCTGGGGAGTGAATCATCAGATGGAAGATCTTTCTCTCTGTCTCTCCTCTCTGTACATCCGCCTTTCCAATAAAAATAAAATAAATCTTAAAAAAAAAAGTTCTATGCTTCCCAGCTGCATGAGTTTTTTTGAGTTTGGGGTGTTTTTGTTTGTTTGTTTGTTTGTTTTCTTTTTTTGTGATAGAATTCATTGAAAAGGTAAGGAAATCGGAGATACACATTCAGGGATAGAGAGGAGACGGAGGGGAAAGTGCGCGAGAGACGTTTCTGTGTTGGTGTCCACGGGGGAGAGAGGATTCTAGGAGCTAGGCCTGGGGAGTGGTCACGTGACTCGACCACATACCTGGGGAAGGGGTCGTTTGATTGATGGCGGCTGCCACACGCTCTGTGGGCTCCCAGCCTCCCCCCTTGCCCCAGGAGCCCTGCCTTGGGCCCCTGGCCTGGCGCAGTGGCATGCCAAGGGTGTGGCCACCCAGGGCCCAGATCAGGCCTGTGGGCCAACATGGTGGTGTGCCATGGTGCAGCGTGCCCAAGACCTGTGAGGTCCTTTGGTCTACCCATTCCCAGACCAGCATGGTGACATACCATGGGTACAGGGCACCTAGGACCCTGTTCTGCCAAAGGCCATCAGAGGAGTGGACCTACATCCTCGACTCTGGCCTCAGGTCTCTAGCTCCCAGCCTGGTGTGTGCCACTGGCAACGCCTCCTCACTGTGGAGCAGTAGGCAGCCATACTGGCACACTCAGAGCAGGCAAGAACAGGCGCAGAATGCCCGCCGCCCTGAGCAGCACTTGCCAAGGCACAGCTGGGGTCTCTTGGTGTTGGTTGATTTTTATTCATCTGTGTATCTTGAAGATATTTCTTAAATTTATTGTTAAGTATTTATAGTAAGTAATATTTTCTAATCCCAGTTTCTAGTTGATTATTAGGAACATGGAAGTATGGTTGGTGTTGGTATACTGTGAAGTGTCTTCTGGTGGGATTGGGACATGTTTGAGCTTTGGGGAGAAGCCGTGTTCTTCCGGCAGGCTCCCGGGTGCATGGCTCGCCTTCCGGCTCGCGCCTCGAGAGCAGCCGACACCTTGAGCGTGCGTTGGGTAGAAGTGCAGCCAGCACACAGACCTTCCCGCAGCATTTGCTCTTGGATGAGTTGATGCTGTGTCTAGGTCTGCTCGTGGTGCCGTTAGCTTGAAGGGATTGCTCCTGGGTTTCTAGGGTTTAGAAGTCACCAGAACTTTGCTTTTAGATTGTGTGCGCATTAGGCTTTTCTGAGTCTGTTTTGTGTGTGCTGAGCTGATTCTTCGGTTTCTACCTATTGTCCTGCTGTGTGTCGTGTCAAGTGACTAGGGTTTCTCAGCCGAATGCTGCTTGATCGTAGAGTGGCGTCCTTAGGATTCCCCATCTGTGTGAATGGACGAATGGGAGTCGATGTGTGGTTTTGTGTCCTTGCCTCGGACTTTGCTCTGGGGTGTTAGTTCTGGAAGATGCTTCCAGCACCTTTGTTTTTGGTTGGCATTTTTCTAAAATGGCATTTCTGAATTATGTGCAGCAGTTGTCCAGCACAGTCCTAGAGCTGGATTCTTTCCTGTGGGGGAAGATGTGATGTGCTTCTGCTTCCAGGAAGGCTGGTGGGAGTGAGACAGCTGCAAACCCCTGCCGGGGATGCACCCTCAGCGCCTGGCCCTGCTGGTTCAGACACGTGGGGGCGAAGCAGTGGACAGCAGCTCAGCTTCCTTCTGTTTCTCCATCCCTTTTACTGTGTGTCTCTGAGTTTCAGATGATTAAGTTAATTTTTGAAAGTTTTTGTTTATCTGTAATAGTTCTATTCAGTTTTTTCATTTGGTATTCAGTCCATTTTTAAATAATTTGTTTCTTAAGATTTCACTTCTTCCAGGTTGTCTTAATTTATTTGCCTGCGGTTGCCGCGTTCTGTCATTGGCCTTTAATCCTTAGTCTGTGGCAGTAGTTCCTGATTTGGGGTGACTTACCTTCTCGTTCACCCCTCACTACTCGTATCAGAGATTTTGTACAACTTTCTCCTCTGTTTCGTTCATTTCTCTTGTGATTTTTTTATCTTATTATTTTGTTGTCGTTTTTGTTGTTGCTATGCACTGGATCTGGCTGGCTTTACTTTTTCTATCTTTTTGAAACCAAAGCCTAGAATATTGATTTTAAGGCTTTCAGATTTACTAGAACCTTTTTATGATCGTGCTCGGAAACATCTCTGTGTACTTGAAGTGTGTGTTCTGCTCTTGTGACATGGCATTGGACAGTGGGGCTGGGTCGGCTGGTGGTACTGGACAGTGGGGCTGGGTGGGCTGGCGGCACTGGACAGTGGGGCTGGGTGGGCTGGTGGTACTGCTTCTAGCACAGACGTTGCTTCCTGAGCTCTGGCGGCCACGAAGCTCTCTGCCCTCGACTGCCATTTGCCCTGCTGGCCTGATCTCCCCCTCTGGGAGGCAGAAGCTGTCTAGAAGCTGAAAGATTTTATTTATTGAAAAGCAGAGTTACAGAGAGAGAGACAGAAAGATCTTCCATCACCTCCCCAAGTGGCCACAATGGCTGCGGCTGGTCCAAGCCGAAGCAGGAGCCAGAAGCTGCTTTAGGGTTTCTCTGTCCAAGCTCCACTGCTTTCCCAGGACTTTAGCAGGAGCCGGATCAGAAGAGAAGCAGCCGGGACTTGAACAGGCGCCCTTGTGGGATGCTGGGCTTGCAGGTAGTGGCTTGACTTGCCATGCCACAACACTGGCCCGGAATGTGTCTGTTGGTGGGACATGAATCCCCGGGTCACGCCATGCTTCAGCTGCTGTGTGACCGTTGAGAGCAGGAGGGACCGGCTTCCTGCTCTCACTTGGGCAGTTTTTCATGCATTTGTTCGGCGATGATAGTGGATTGTGTGTGTGCATTATTGCTGCATGTCTGACATACTGACCCTTCCATCGTTAGCAAATGTTACTGTTATGTGCTGTTGGGACCCCTGTAGCTCCCTGGGTCACTGTACCAAAATGAGTTTTTTCCACTGTCTTTTTACTTTCAACCTTATTAGTCTTTCATTGTAAAGTTTGTCTTTTAAGCTTTCATTTGAAGCTTGCATTTTTAATCCTATCCCCTGAATATGTCCGTTTGACTGACAGTTCTAGAACCTCACACCTGTTTCTTGTGATTGACAGTGGGGTTCAGTTGCACGTGTGCTTTGATGGGCAGAGCACCAGCCTTGTCCCTCGGCCTTCACTGCAGGCCCCTCTTGCCTCATTTTGGAGAGTCGCTGTGACCTTGTGTTAAGCAGACCCAGCCGACAGAGGCATCACTTGCTCCGTTCTCCATGGTCCCAATACCCAGTCTTCCCTCAGTCGTCTCCACCAGTCAGGCCAGAGTACAGGTCCAGAGCTGCCGCCCAAGCACCAGGAGTTCTTTCTTCCTGCGGGGCTTTGGGGTCCCCTTGCTTAGCTCAGAGGGCCCCGTCCCCACACCTTTGCCTCTGCTTTGTAACTGCCCAGCAACAGCCACATTTGACTCATGTTGTTGCCTTGTCCTTTCTCTTAGGCTGAGCAAGCTGCAAACACCTGTGAATGCCATGTTTGTAAACAGGAAGCTTCTGGCCTGCCAGCATCAGCCATGACTGCTGGAGCCCTCCCTCCTGGCCATCAGTTCCTGAGCCCAGAGAAGCCTGCCCACCCTGCCTTGCACCTGTACCCCCATATCCACGGACATGTGCCTCTGCACACCATGCCGCACCTGCCTCGCCCACTCATCCATCCCACCTTGTACGCAGCGCCCCCCTTCACACACAGTAAGGTAAGCGGGACAAGTTGCGGCCCTGCAGGTGTGCATGGCTGGACAAGCAGCAGTCTAAGTGGGCAATGTGTTTGGGTAATGCTCTCACTGCTCTGGTGGTCTGCAAATGCTGGTCATCGTTATAGTCTCTGACGCCTGTGTTATTCCAAGCTTTTATAGTTGTACAAGCAATCAGGAAGGTCATGGCTGAGACATTCAGAATTAGCTAGAACACAGAAAGCTGACAGGTCGGACTCAGGTCACCTGCTCACAGCCTTCTGCGGTGTTGCTGTGAGTTAGTGTGAGTCCTCTCTGCTGGCTGGGCTGCCCAGGGTCTGCATCAGTCATGCCTCCTCAGCAGGGAAAAGCCTCGAGGAAGAAGCTGAGAAAAAGGCCTCAGAAGGTGACACGGCCCTGCAGGTGGCGGTTGGGGGGCTCAGAGCACCTGCGGGAAGGCAGGGGGCTGTAGAGCTGGCTGGCGTCTGCGCATTGCTTCTTGAGAAGGCAGTGCTTATATATTGTGTCTTGGATTTTGCAATGAAATTTTTAGGTTGATTTTGTTCTTTGTACCTTAGGCAGTGTTTCCTCTCTAAGTATTATGGTGTAATGGATTGCTTTGTTAAACAAAGTGTTATTATTTGTGGCAGAGCAGCAGAGAAGGGATGCAAGAAAGCAGTGGCCTGCATCTGCTTGCTGCTTCACTCCCCGAATTGTCCACACTGCAGCCGGAGCCAGGGGATGAACCCAGTGTCCTCTCTCGGGCCAGGGCCCAGCACTTGGGCCATCTGCCGCTGCCAGGCACATTAGAGGGAGCAGCCAGGACTCTGCGTGTGCTGTATCTCCCTCTCTGTCACTCTGCCTTTCAAGCAAATGACTTCTGAAATGAGTTCTTGACAGCCCCCCAAGTTAGTGTTTAACCTTGCTAGGTTGAGTATCTCCCTCAACGTTTGCTGCTATGCTGCTATCCTGAAGTCGGCTCTGTTTGGTTTTTCTCTGGATGCATGTGGAGGTTAGGCAGCGTCCACTCCCTGGGGTCACCTGAACAGGCTCTTACTAGTCTTGAAAGGCCTTGGGACCTTGTGCCACATGAATCTTCCCAAGAATTAGTTACTAAGCACATTCAACTAGGGTAATAAAGTTAATTGTCCCAGAACTCAGTGGGCCGCCAGGCAGTTTGGGGTGAGGCCTGGAGAGCCCATCTCCATTGAGGATGGGTGCTTTGTCTTCTGTTGCTTTAATTCGTCATCAGGAGGGAGAAGCTGACGCGATACAGACCTCAAGACCTCAGGGAGAGGGCCTGTGGCGATCAGGAGCTTCTGACTGAGCCATGTGGCTGTTCACCTCAGGACTGTTCTTGGACTGATTTAAAATACCTCAGTTGGAAGCCATTCTGACTTGTGAAAAACAAAATCCAGTGGAAAAATATTTCCCTTGTTCCTGGTATGAAAACACTTGTTCCTTTATGCAAGCTTGCCAACATGCCTTGCTCTGTGTTGCTTGAACTTGACTCAGCTGTGTGCAGGGATGCTCTGTACCCAGGTACCTGGGGCATTAGTGACCCCAGAACTGTAGCTGGGAGCACTTTCCAGGGAGCACGTATCACTCCAAGCCAGTTCCTTAGAGGTATCAAGAGGGCTGTTCAGGGGAGGGAGGCAGATGATGGGTGCTGGGGGGTTGGCCAGCTTTGTGCCTCTAGGCCCCAGTCGACCCCCCCTTGGGGTCAGCATTCATTTCTGCTTTGTTAGACCCCTCATTTTAGGTCCTGATAGGTCTCATTCTTGTAATTCGTATTTTGGTCAATGTATGTAAATATTTAGTACCTAAAACGTTGAGGGCGAGTAGTGTGGAAAATTCATTTTCTGAACAAAGCCCGCTAACTTCTTTTTGTAAATGTTTCATGTCAGTGATAGATGTACTTTGAGAGGCGAATTGTCTTCAGCTTCAGAACACTTAGGGACAGACAGAGCAGTCATCTCACGCAGACGCTGAGTGGTTCTTGTTCTGATCAAGCTGTGCCCTCACCTGACGGGGTGCAGATTCTTGAATGTTCCCTGTGATCTTGGAAAGGACGTGTGAGGGGTCTTCAAGGAAGTCATGAACCCCGCGTGGCTGTATCAGCGGCTGTGTACCACGGTCGGCTGCGTTGTTTGTGAACCTGCCATTTGTGGTGGCTCTGTGCACTGCCCTGCTGTGGACGCGGGGTCTGTGGCTGCCCTGCTGTCCCCATCGAGCAGGTGCTGCTCGGGCTGTACGTCTCTTAAGAGCTGGATTGCTTCTTGCAGATTCGTTGTTTTGTTATTAAGATGTAAAGAAGTCAGATATACAGAGAGGAGAGAAAGATTTTCCATCCACTGATTCACTGCATCCGCTGGCCGCAACAGTTAGAACTGCGCCGATCCAAAGCCAGGAGCCAGGAACTTCTTCCAGGTGTCCCACACAGGTGCAGGGTTCCAAGGCTCTGGGCCGTCCTCCACTGCTTTCCCAGGCCACAGGCAGGGAGCTGGACGGGAAGTGGAGCTGCCGGGACATGAAGTGTACGGGATCCTGGTGGATGCAGGGCCAGGACCTTAGCCACTGGGCTCCTGTGCCAGGCTGCTCCTTGCTGCGTCTGACATTGCCGTCCATTGTTTTACGTTGTGTTGTGCGTGTTTGGTCTTGGATCACCGTGAGGTGCCAATTTCTGGTCTGACACCATTTCTAGCCAGCCTGGCTTCTTTCCCATGAGGTTAGCATATTTGTCTTGTCAGTCCGTTTGTAGTCAAGTCCCCATCCCTCAGCCCGGAGTTAGACATTCCCAGCAGGCAGCTGTCGCCGGCCACTCCCGACACGGAGCTTCCTAAAGCAAACTGTGCTGGCAGCTTTCCCTCTGGGTGATTTGTCTTCAGGTCCATCCAGGTCACGACCATTGCAGAACTCCAGTCCTTGGGGCTTGCGGACGATCCATTGTGGCTCTGCCACATTTTTCTTTATTGTTCACGCAGTGGGGAGCTCCTGGCGTGTGTCTAGTGCTGTGCTGAGTAACTGCTTGCACGAGCCGGGACTGCAGGCCGGCCTTGACTCGGTGCTCCAGAGCCCGTGGAGTCCCGCAGCAACCCTGTTTGTCAGCGTTTGGGAACAGCTGCCTCGGCCTTGTGTTTCTGCTGGCGGCCGACGTGGGTGACACTGGGCACGCCGTGCTGGTGTTGGTGATGCCCGAGTGTCCCGGAGAGTTCCCCTGCGCGTCTCCTCTGTAAAGAACCAGCTCTTGAATGCTCCTCCCCGTTTCTAACTCAGCTTGTTCCTATGCTTTAGAAATTCTCTATATTCTGGATATTACGGCCTTAACACATACATGATTTCTGAATATTTTTTCCCATTCTGGGGGCTGATGCTGCTGTTTTATTCTGCCAAAGTGATACGTTTTGAAGTACAACATTGAAAAATTTCCATAAAGTTCAGTTTCTTTACTACTTTATGTTTTGTTGTCTGGGCCTTTTGTGTCACACAGAAAAAAATCACAGCCACGGACCCAGCATGTTAGCCTAGTTGCTAAATCCGTGCCTTGCATGCACCAGAATCACATATGGGCATAATTCATGTCCCAGCGGCTCCACTTCCCGTCCAGCTCCCTGCCTGTGGCCTGGGAAAGCAGTCGAGGACGGCCCAAAGCCTTGGGACCCTGCACCCATATGGGAGACCCGGAAGAAGCTCCTGGCTTCAGATGGGCTCAGCTCCAGCCATTGTGGTCACTTGGGAAGTGAGCCATTGGACAGAAGATCTTCCTCTCTGTCTCTCCTCCTCTCTGTATATCTGCCTTTCCAATAAAAATAAATAAATGTGTTTTTTAAAAAAAGACCATGAGGGGGAATGTCCAGCTCTCCCCAGAGGCTGCAGGAGCCTGAGTTGTTCAAGGGTCAGATTCTGCTTCCGTGGTGGCCACTGGCAGGGGTGGTCGCATTGGGCACAGAGCAGCTCAGAGCCAGGCCCTGCGGGGTGCGGTGTGGCCTCCCCTGCAGGAAGCATTCGTGTGCTCATAGTCCCCTTGGCATGAACGAAGCTGCCAGACAGATCCCCGTCTGTGCTCATATCAGAGCCGTTGTGCTGTCAGTGTCGTGAGGCGGCTCCAGCGGTCGCCACGGGCAGTGCTGGTGTTGAGTCCCTCGCCCTGGCGCTCTGGGTTGGTAATGGATGTGAATGTTGGTGTTGGGCCATTTCAGGTATGGGCTTGGTGTGTTCCTTGCGCACTCTCCTCGGTATGGCGTCTCGCACACGTTTCTCCGGCCTGGGCTGGCGCATATCTCGTTCCTTGCTCCGTGAAGGCATTGTTGCCATTCTGAGACAGGCGGAGAGCTCCCTTCCACCGACTCAGTACCCAGACAGACGCCCACCGAGAACCGGGCGCCCAGTTCAGGTCTCCTGCAGAGGGTGGACGAGCCAGTGTCGCTTCCCCAGGCCCTGTGTCAGCAGGGAGCTTCCCGTGGGGGCCGGAGCAGCACTGCGCTCAGGGGCTCAGTGTGCCGTGCCCAGTGTGGGCCCTGTGTCCTGTGACAGTGTAATCGCTTCTTTTGTCCCAGGGTGTAAGATGCTCTGAAGTTTCGTGTGAGAAGAGCGAAGCCATTGCTGTGGTCTGATGGCTTGACGCTTGGAGTGTATGCCTGAGCTGCTGGCGCACCCACCAAGGCCTGGTCCAGAAAGGACCCAGAGCCCAGATGCGGATTTTCTTCTGAAGACTGTTAAGCTCGAGGGGTCAGTAGGCAACTTGTGTAAAAATGACAGTGAAAAGCTGTTCCTCCTTCCTTTCGTCTCTGCACTGCTGGGCTTCAGAGAGCAGAGCGAGCAGCGTCGTCACCCCGCTCCCTCTCTGCAGAGTCTGCTCTGCCTGCATTTATTGGACACCCAGTATGTGCCAGGCTCTGTGCCACCCCAAAGGAAAGGCAAAGGTGGCCCATCCTCATCCCTGTGCCATGATGTGCCCGTAGGTGCAGACGCAAGCCAGGGCTGAGGCTCATGAAGAAGTTGCAAGAGCTTTCTGAACACGTGCTGGCTCCCTGCCGGACTGTGGAGCACCCAGCCTCCCAGCGTGGCCAGGGAGGGCGTGCAGGGCGAGCTCCCCGCCGGACTGTGGAGCACCCAGCCTCCCAGCGTGGCCAGGGAGGACGAGCAGGGCGAGCTCCCCGCCGGACTGTGGAGCACCCAGCCTCCCAGCGTGGCCAGGGAGGACGAGCAGGGCGAGCAGGGCGTGCAGGGCGAGCAGGGCGTGCAGGGCGTGCAGGGTGAGTTCCCTGCCAGGAGGCCCCCTGAGCAGCATCCTGTCGTTAGAGCTAGTCTGCTGTGCGCAGCTCTGGAAGTATTTTCTTGGGTTGTCGGCTCCCCTGCCAGAATCGCTAGTTGAGACCCACTGCTTTCCCCTCCCGCTGCCCACTGTCTGCCTGAGTCAGCTGGTAGGATTTGGTGAGTGGTTCCTGTCCTAGGAAGTGCCGATGCTCCAGGGCCTGGCGGTGTGGAGGCGATTGGAGCACTGCAGGTGGGTGATTGCCTGAGGTCACACAGCTGGTCCGAAGGAGGCAGACAGGGATCGGACCGCAGACCCAGCTCCAGCACCTGTCTACACTCGTGCTGGAGCCGGGGCACAGTGCTGAGCGAGCTGTTCTGTAGTCGTAGGTCTCCTTGCATCTGCATTGCCATCCCTCCCACCCCTGACTAACTGCCCCAGTATCCTCTTCCCCTCCAGCTTGTCCTGCTGCCATGGCTTGTCCTCCTAGAAACCAAAATCTTCACTCTCACCTCGAATTATCCACGGCTCCCAGGCCCCTCAGGGCGTAAGTGGCACACAGTAGCTGCCCTGTTGGAACCTGCTGGGCACCCCGTGCTCTAGCACCCTGCTGTCCTCCATGGGCACCCGCGGGCCCACCCATCGCCTGATCTGGGAGTCTTTCCTGAACTTGTGTGGGACTCATGGATCACTGTCATCTCAGGATGCATCACCAGGTGTCCTCTCACCTGCCTGTGGGTGACACAGGCCGGAACAGGAGGGCAGGACCCCTCACCCCTCCCCAGCTCAAGAAGACAACATGACCTGGGGCACGGCAGACAGTAAGCCCAGAGACGACACGGGAGTCTTGATGTGTGCTATGGAGAAGCAAGCAGGAAAAGTGTGGGTCTCTGTGTGTCTGCAGGGAAGGCTCAGGTCGGGTGTCGGTGGGAAGCACAGGCTTTGGTCAGGAGCTGCAGGAAGAGTGCGAGTGAGTGAGCTAATGAGCAGAGGTTAGGATCTTCTAGAACACGGGCATGAGCGTCTTGGGAATTTGGACACCTGGGGGCTCGTGGAGCAGGACAGAAGGTCGGCCCCCGTTCCTCGGATCCGTAGGGCCGTGTCCAAGCCTTGGACTGCGAAGCACGGCGCAAGTCCTGCATTCTGAATAGAAACGCTCCCTGAGTGAGGAGAGGGCCCGCCAAGGGACAAGGAGCCTTGGAGCTCATGGCCAGAGCCTGAGGAAGGCTGCCCGGGCCCTGCCCCGTTCCTGCTGACACCTGTGTAATGGCTCAGCATCACGGCCCCCTCGTGCTTGAGACTGGACGTTGCCCTTTGCCCAGGAGCCAGGGGGTCAGTCTGAGGTTTTCTCATTTTCATCAACGATTCCCAAGGCGACTTATTAGCAGCAGGAAAGATGCCAGGGGAGCGAGCGTATGCCTTAGGAACAGCCGTGATGTGTAACAGCCACGTTTGGAGATAAGAGAGGGTCGTTGGGACATACGCAGTCCCCTCTGGTGGCGATCTGACCTGCAGTGTCCAGCCGAACCGTTCCAGGAGCGCTCGGTGAGGAGTGCCCGGGCCAGCCCCTCCCGCCTGTCTGCTTGCACTTGAACGACGTAGCTCCGCAGAGTATGAATTCTGATTTGTGATTAGAGATTTCTTTTTGTAGGCTTTACCGCCAGCACCTGTTCAGAATCACACAAATAACCCTCAGGTATTCAGTGCATCTCTTCAAGACCACATTTACCCGAGCCGTTTTGGGACTGCTCCGGAGTGGAATAGTTCTAAAATGATAAGTCTTTGGGGATCAGAAGTGATGAATGATAAGAACTGGAACCCTGGCGCTTTCTTGCCAGATACAATTTCTGGTAAGGAATTTGTTAAAACTTTGTTCAAGTTTCAGCTAATCGATCCCAGCTGAATGGATTGACATTGTTGCAGCCTCCTGCAGAATCTGTGCTAAGCTCTGCCAGCTGCTGCTCCCTCGGCCTCCTGGGGTGCCAGGGCCTGTGCCCCCATGCCTGCTGTGCAGCAAGGCCCCGCCGAGGCTGCGGGTGGGCGTCAGCAGCCGGTGAGCACTGCTCGAGGCCACCGGACCCCAGCCCGGGCCAAGTCTGTCTTACATCTGTGATTCTGTACTGAGCCTCGGTGGGGGCAGGCCCTAACACGCTCCTTCCTTCCTATTGCCAAGGCTGTGCTGTCCCTTGAGCTCAAGGTTGGGGACACTGAGGAGGGGTCGCTGCCAGCACCTTGTGTCTGCCTGTAGCCAGGAGTTCCTGGCGCCTCCCCAGCCCTTGCTCAGAACAGCAAGCCAGGTGTGACATCCTGGTCTTCGCTCGGAAAGGATTCTAGCTGTGTGACCTTAGGCAAGCACGTAGCCTCTCTGAGCCCCAGGTCTTCATCTGTAGGGTGAGTGAGTGGAAGCACCGACCTCAGACAGTAGTGTGAAGGCGTTAAGTGGTTTTGGAAAGCGCCTGGCACAGGGACTGGCACATAGTAGGTGCTCAATAAAGGGGAGCCCTCCTCCAGCAGCCGTCCCAGAGGAACCCTCCTCCAGCATCCATCCCAGGGGAGCCCCCCTCCAGCACCGTCCCATGGGAGCCCCCCTCCAGCAGCCAGCCCAAGGGAGCCCCCCTCCAGAGCCAACCCAGGGGATCCCCTCCTCCAGCAGCCAGCCCAGGGGAGCCCCTTACTGTGCAGCCAACCCAGGGGATCCCCCTCCAGCAGCCAGCCCAGGGGAGCCCCCCTCCAGCAGCCAGCCCAGGGGAGCCCCCCTCCAGAGCCAACCCAGGGGATTCCCCCCTCCAGAGCCAGCCCAGGAGAGCCCCCCTCCAGCAGCCAACCCAGGGGAGCCCCCCTCCAGCCAGCCCAGGGGATCCCACCTACAGCAGCCGCCAAGGGGAGCCCCTTACTGTGCAGCCAGCTCAAGGGAGACCCCCTCCAGCAGCCAGCCCAGGGGAGCCCCCCTCCAGCAGCCGGCTGTATCCAGTGTTGTCCACAGCATGCCCCTTACTGTGCAGCCAAGTGTCATTTCTTTTCTAACCTCGATTCTCCTGTTCTCTGAAGGGGGGGACGTGTCAGGACCAGCACTCTCAGAGACTCGGGCTGAAGCCCTCCCACCTCCATCTAACAGCGAGGATAGTAAAGAAAGGAAAAATGCAGCGAAGAAGAAGTGTCTGTATAATTTCCAAGATGCTTTCCTAGAAGCAGACAAGGTCGTGATGGCCACCTCATCAGCCACATCCTCTGTGTCATGCACGGCCACCACGGTGCAGTCGAGCAACAGCCAGTTCAAGGTGTCGTCCAAGAGACCACCTTCCCTAGGTAAGGCCCGTGCTCCTCCGCCAAGCCTCACCAGAGTGGGCGGATGTCCAGAGGTGCTCCCTACCACACAGAGGCCGAGCAGCCCCACTGGGCCCTGCGTTTGCGCGAGGCCTAGGGGCTAGCCCTCAGGGAGTGTGGTGGCCGTCACTGCAAGAGCAGGATTGACAGGGATGCCCGAGCAAGGGGCTCGGCTGGGGGCGGACGCGCGCGCGCTGCTGCTGGAGCGGAGGAAGGGGAGGTCGAGGCTGCAGTGGGAGTGCTGGGTCGGGTCAGTGTCCCTGGAAATGCCTGCAGCACGGGCTGGCCGCTGGGCAAGTGCAGCACCCGGGGGCAGCGGGCAGGCAGCCCCAAACTGGCCCGAGCACAGGCCTGCCACATGGCACCTGAGGCTCAGGAGAGTCTGTGGCACTGGCAGGATTCGGACCCACGGCTTTCACCCAAGTCCCGTGAGACAGGGTGAGTCAGGTGGGTGGCCTCAGGCAGTGTTGCTCTCGCCAAAAAGAAAAAAAGAAAAGGTGGAGTCGAAGCTGGGCTTGCAGAGAAGCTGAGGGGCACAGGGAAGCCGCAGCACACCAGGGTGCGTTCCGTGGCTGTCGGCGCGGTCCACATGAATCCCGGTGCGGTCCACATGAATCCCGGTGCGGTCCACATGAATCCCGGTGCTTGTGCCGCCCCGGCTCCCACCCCGCTCCCACCCCGCTCCCACCCCGGCTCCCACCCCGCTCCCACCCCGGCTCCCACCCCGGCTCCCACCCCGCTCCCACCCCGGCTCCCACCCCGCTCCCACCCCGCTCCCACCCCGGCTCCCACCCCGGCTCCCACCTCGGCTCCCACCCCGGCTCCAACCCCGCTCCCACCCCGCTCCCACCCCGGCTCCCACCCCGCTCCCACCCCGGCTCCCACCCCGCTCCCACCCCGGCTCCCACTGCGGCGTCAGGGAGGAGTGCGTGTGGGGAGCGGAGTCTGAGGCCCAGGATGGGTCACGGGCTTTGTGTGATTTGCTGCAGGTTTCACCATTTTCCTACCAAAGAGATGCTAGCAAAGTATAATTCAGGGAAGCATGAATGTGTGCCTTTGCTCAGCTGCAGGGTGACTCTGTGTCTCTCGATTCAGGTGACGTCTTTCACGGCATCAACAAGGAGGGCCCCCGGCCCCTGGCCCCGGCCGCACCCAGGAGCAGCCCCACAGGCGTGGCGCCGCTGCCCGCCCTCGCACCCGCTGCCCTCACACCTGCCTCCGCACCTCATCTTGCCAACCTCACAGCCCCATCATTTCCCAAAACCGCTACCACAGCCCCTGGATTTACAGACACACGCAAGAGCTTCTGCCCTCCTGTGGCCCCCCCGGCCCCCCCCACAGACGGCTCCGTCAGCGCCCCTCCCAGTGTCTGCAGGTGAGTCCCTGAGGCCTGGGCAGACTGGAGGTGGGGACCAAGCCATTCAGCTGGCTGCCTGGGCCCTGGCACGTCCCACAGAGGCCAGCACAGGCTGTGGTCCCCTGGCCTGTGGCCCAGCAGGCACCAGGCTCTCTCCCTGCACCCCGCCTCACCCCCATTGTATTTGAAAGGCAAGGACAGGGATGAGCGCCGGAGAAAGAGCGGTCGTCTGCAGGCTCACACTCCGGAGCCCACGACAGCTGGGGCCGGACCACAGTGAAGTCAGGAGCCCAGGGCAGCGGCCAGGTGCTTGGGCTGCCTCATGCACTGTGCCGTAGCAGGGAGCTGGGCTCCGAACCTGACAACTGAGGCACCCCGGGCAGGGTGCCGCGGGGGCTTGAGTAGAATCAGAAGAAAAATTGTGAAGATGTATTTTATTTTGGGAGGTGCAGGGTAGCACTGGTGCAGCTGGAAGATCTTTCTCTGGCATTCTGCCTTTCTAGTGTGTGTGTGTGTGTGAATTGTGTGTGTGTGTGCGAGAGAAATTGTGAGGGAGAGAATGTGTGTGAGAGAGAATGTGTGTTTGTGTGTGTAGGTCGGCTGGCCAGCTCTGTGTGTGAGAGTGTGTGTGAGAGATTGTTTGTGAGAGAGAATGTGTGTAAGAGTGTGAGAATGTATGTGAGTGTGTGTGTGTGTGTGTGTGTGTGTGTGTGTGTGTGTAGATCTGGCCAGCTGTGTGTATGTGTATTTCTTTTCATTTTGTGACAGTTTCATAGGCTCTGGGATTCCCCTGCCCCTCCCCCCGTGGTGGATCCTCCCCCTTATTGCAGTATTACAGATCAAATCCAGTCATGATTCTTTCATTGCAAGCATGTACCATGCAGAGTCAGCATCCTGATGTCCAGATAAATTCAGCAGTTTCTTGGGGAGCGTGTATTTTTTTTTAATAAGATGGGCCATGCAGAGGGGGTCATGGGGAGTGGTGTGGGGTGGCGCCCGCAGCGGCAGCTGCAGCTTAACAGCCCGTGTGTGGTTCCACAGCGACCCCGACTGTGAAGGGCACCGCTGTGAGAACGGCGTCTACGACCCGCAGCAGGACGAGGGGGACGAGAGCGGGGACGAGGACAGCTGCTCCGAGCACAGCTCCGGCACCTCCACCTCCACCAACCAGAAGGACGGCAAGTACTGTGACTGCTGCTACTGCGAGTTCTTCGGGCACGGCGGGGTGAGTGCGTGGGCGCAGGCCGGCGGCGGTGTGCCCGTCTGACTCGTGCCTGCCCGGTAGTTCAGCTCTCGGGCTAGTGGCTGCGTTCTCGTGGTGCTTTAAATATTCAGAGAAGCTGAGGGGACCTGCCGCACATCGGCAGTAGGAAGCTGTGGGTTGTGACAGGTGCCTGTGCTGGCACGTTCTGTGCCGTGGAGCTGTCTCACTGGGTGTCTGTGGAGCAAGGACTGTCACTCGGGCTCTGGGGCTGGTTGGACATTCCTCCGACACCCACGTGGGTCGGGGCCGGCAGAGTTGATGGCATCCACGGGCTCCTAGCGCGTGGAGACGCCCTGTGCTGGGTGAGACGCGGGCGCCTCAGAAGTGCGACTGCTTCTCTTCTGTTTGAAACTCCGTCTGTTACAGACTTACCTAGATTTTGTTTTACCAGTAAGGTAGAGTGTAAAGGGCAGGTGCCAAGATGGATATAAATTGTTGTGTCGTGTGTTTCTCTTATCTCCTTATTTTTCTTTGTGCAACGTGTCTGCAGATTGTCTGCAGTCTGCCACATGACAGTTGTGTCCCGTCTTTCCTCAGCCTCCTGCCGCGCCCACAAGTAGGAACTATGCAGAGATGAGAGAGAAGCTTCGTTTGCGGCTTACCAAGAGGAAAGAAGAGCAGCCTAAGAAAACGGACCAGGGCTCGGAGAGGGAGAGCGTGGTGGACCACCGCAGGGTGGAGGACCTGCTGCAGTTCATCAACAGCTCGGAGACCAAGCCTGTGAGCAGCACGCGGGCCGCCAAGCGTGCCCGGCACAAGCAGAGAAAGGCAGGTGCTGCTCTCCGGGGCTGGGCGCGCCTGTGCTGCTCCCCAGCCCATCCAGCCTGGCCAGGCTCCCTCTGCATCTCCTCTGGTGGGATTCATGGCTCTCACAGCCTCCTCACTCCCCGGCCTCAGGGGAGCGGGGACAAAGAGACCTGGGGTGTAGACCCAGTGAGCTGGGCAGGTGCCTGCGGTGAAGTCACGTGACTTTGAGCTGCAGCACGGCAGCAGACCTGTGGCCCCACCAGTGGTGGTCTTGGAGGCGAGCCTGTTGTCCTGTCTTGTGTAGACATGAAGCAGACCTGCTGTGGTCTGCTGGTCCTCCCAGGCAGCCTCCTGCACAGGCCCTGTCCTGGAGCGACTCCCCCCTCCTCCTGGCTGGCCTCCCTAAGGCTGTCAGAGTCCCAGACCTCAGCCAGCAGGTGCGGGCCGCACGCGGTCAGTGGTGATAGGCACGAGTGATCTGGAGCAGGAAGTTGGTGAAGAGGTAAAGAGTAGGATGGTCCCCGAGTGGGCCAGAGTTTGGTGCCTCTGATTCCCGCGCAGGATTAGTCCGCAGGAACCCCATGTGATTTGGGGAGCATGGCTGCACAGACCATCCTCCATCCAGCTGGGAGTCTTCAGGGTGAGCTTGGCCTGCGCCCCCCCTGTGGGGCCACCAAGCCCTGCCAGCTGTGGGAGCCGTGCTTGCAGCCCAGCCGAGGCCCCATGTCTTCAGGCCTCTGGAGCTGCCCTGTGCCAGGCTCCTGCCCTGATCTCCATCTCCACCCTGGGTCATGCTTGCTGCTGACCTAACTGACCCACAGAGCCACTGCACTAGGAGTGCCCAGCACATCTCAGCCCCCGGGCCTGATGCTGCCTTCCTCTGCAACCCACTGCGTGAGGGGGCACCTGCACTCGCAGGCGGAGCCCGTCAGCTGTGGGTGCGTGGCAGCCTCGCATGGCAGACGCTGGGCTGTGGCCTTGCACGGGGCTCCTCCATGAAGGTCTGCTTCTGTACTGAGGGAGAAAGGACCTTAAGTAATTTTTACTCAGTGTGCCAAATTAATTTTTTAGATGTGTTGAATTTTGGCCATTTTCTATTTGAGTGTTTCAAAATGTAAATAAAATTGTTTCTTAAGAATATTGAAAACTGGAGAGAGGGAGCAAGTGCCAGGTCTCGTGGCTGAGATGCAGTCTGCATTCAGTCCCCAGGCCCCTGGAAGTAGCGGCGCAGGCAGCTGGCTCCTGGCCACCCTGCAGAGACCTGGCCGGAGTTCCTGGCTCCTCCTGTCTGCCCATCCCCAGCCATTGTGGGTGTCTGGGAAATGAAGCAGCGAGTGGGGGATCCCTGTGCCCGGGCACCAGCACATAAGTGATATGTAGATGCTGTTGGGGCCAGAAGGCACTGCTGCCCTGGGCACAGCTGCCCCACACCCACATCGTCCCTGGGTCTGACCCAGCAGGTGCCAGTGGGCCTCCCCTGGCTGCTCTGGGCTAGAGGTCACCTTTGATTAGTTGGAAGGAAGTTTCTCTTTGCGCCCTGGCAGCGCGTGTCCACGTTACAGTGCAGTCCTCACCCAGCGCACGCGAGACGTTCCGGTCAAGCTGGGCCGCTGAGTCAGCTGTGTTTTACCTCCTGTGCAGCATCAAGTGCTTCAGAAAGTCATGCGTCCTTTTACACTAGTGAGAATGTTACCGCTTTTGTCTCCTTGCAGAACAGGCCAACACCAAGGTCCTTAGTCCCCGTTCTTGGCTGTCCCTCGTGTGGAAAAGCCTGCACACTACAGGCTGCAGCCTTCAGTCCGCAGGGCCAGCCTGACCGTGTCACACGCCTGGGGAAGCCAGCTGCCTCTTAGCAGCGCCCCCGCTAGGGTGGCAGTGTGCACACTGGCGGCCACGCTGAGTGAGATGGTTGGTGCAGGCGACACGTGCACGTCCCGTTGTAGCTCCTTGGTTGTCGCGTCGTCCTGTGTCGTGCTGAGCGTTCCCTGCGACCCTTTTTCTTTCCTTTTGGCAGCTGGAGGAAAAAGCGCGCTTGGAGGCTGAGGCCAGGGCGCGGGAGCACCTGCACCTCCAAGGAGAGGCACGGCGGCAGGAGGAGGACGAGGAGGAGGAGGAGGAGGAGGAGGAGCACTTCAAGGAGGACTGTCAGCGGCTTCAGGAGCTTCAGAAGCTGCGAGCTGTGAAGAAGAAGAAAGAGCGTCCAAGCAAGGGCTGCCCCAAGTTGGACCTGCTCACTCGGCATCTGCAGACGGCTGCGGGGCCCGTGCCCAGTGCCAACGGCGTCTACAACGGCGTGCCCGAGCCGGCTGAGGAAGCACACAGCAGCTCCCGCTCCCCCTGCAGACACGTGAGCCACACAGAGCCCAGGCTGAGCCCAGGAGCCGACGCGGACACTGTGGACGCCGCTGGCCCCGGGGGGACCTGTGGGCAGCAGCCCGAGCCGCTCTCTTTCTTCCTTGATATGGTGCAGCACCACAAGGAGGGCCACGGCAAGCAGAAACTGAAACCGCCCCCTAAAGCCGGCAGTGAGCCCGTCAGGAAGCCCGGGGAGCCCCCCAAGGCCACGGAGGGACAGCCCAGACCCCGGGCGCAGGCCCAGGCCGAGGCCAAGGCCAGGGTGGCTGACCCCACCCCAGTCACAGAGCAGAAAAAAGAGGAGAGGAAAGTCAACGTCAACAACAACAACAAAAAGCAGCCGAGCCATGCCAAGGAGGAGAAGGTGCCCGCCGGCCCCGAGCCCCCGGCCCCCGGGGAGCCGCAGCAGGCCAGCAGGCTGGCACTGGCCGACTCGCCACAGCCCCGGGGCAAGAGCCGGAAGGGCAGGAAGAAGAAAGGGGAGCGAGCCGGCAGCTCCATCGGTAAGCAGGGGAGGTGGGGAGCACTGACCCCCATGTTTGTGGGTGCCGTTGACCTGTCCCTGCTTGGAGAGCGCACTGGGCAGCAGTGGCCACTTCTCTGTCCTGTTGTTTCAAGGTACCACTGGACTCCCCATGGCGGCACTCATGGTTGAGGTGACCGAGCTCTGGCCTCGACCCTGCGCCTGCAGAGCTCATTTCGGCTCCGCAGTCTGTCCTGCCTTGGAATCTTCTTTCCTAATTGCCTTTTATTAGCAAGGCGGGTCTACAGAGAGAGAAATCTTGGTGCATCTGCTGGTTCATTCCCCCAGTGGTCACAACAGTAGGAGTGAGCCAATCCAAAGCCAGGAGCTTCTTCCAGGTCTCCCACGCGGGGGCAGGTCCTGGCAGCACAGGCTGACATTCATGGCGCCAGCCCTAGACCTGGGTCTGTTCTAGGTAACCTGGGCACGTCCTACAGCTGGCTCTCATGTCTGGATGCGACAGGGCTGTGCATGTGTGCCCGTGTCCTCCAACACAAAGTCCCCAGGGTCCAGGAAAGATGCGTGCCAGGTGCATGATGTTCAAGTGCCGGGTGTGAAGGGCCCGGTGACCCAGCACGCAGGCTCGTCCTCAGGGCAGCCGGTCCTCAGGGTGGGCCAGTACAGCACCAGCATGGCTTTGTGCCTATTGTGCTGTGCTGTTCGGGGAATCGAGCAGGGAAACCACCTGTACGCACGCACGTGACCTGTTCATGTCATCTCTGCTGTTCAAGCTAGTTAGAGTTGAGCGGTCGAGTCCCAGTGGTCCCGCTGTGTCAGGGGTCGACCTGGGGCCTGGTCACGGTGGCGTCTGCTGCATCGCTCTGCAGTCAGCCTGAGGTGCCTCCTCGCTCTTTAGGAAGGATGAACACCCTTTGTTGCTGGTTGTCTTGTTTTAATGTATGTGTTTATTTGAAAGGCCGAGTGGCGGCGAGAGCCAGAGGCCTTCCCTGCCTGGGCTCACTCCCAGGAGCCCTGTGCTGGCCTCGGGCTGAGATGGACTGCGTGGGGGCGCCTTGCACTCTGCCTAGGCCCCAGCACCCACCCGAGCGTCCTGTCTAGCTGTGTTTTGCCTGAAGTGGTTCTGCTGTGTTGTTGGTCATGCGGTCTAGGACTGCTCCATCTGAATTTGACTTAGGAACAGCTGCTTAGTGGGTGTGGTCAGGTTGGTTGTGGTTCCCCAGCTGGTGCTGCCCACTGGGACTCCCAGGTAGGGCCAGAACCAGCGTGAGAGCCCCTCAGACCAGCTCTCCCCCAGGCTGTGCTGATGGGAGCGCGTAACCCCGGCATGCTCAGCACTCTGTCATCCTCAGGTGAGGGCCTGCCCCAGCCCGGAACAGCCCTCTTCAGAGCAGCCCTGGCCCTGAGGACTGCCAGTGGACAGCGAGTTTGCATGGCACGTGCCTGTCTGCCTGTGACCTGCACCCATCTCTCCAGGGTTCCCACAGGGACGCCAGGTCCATGCCAGGGACACCATGTCCGTGCCAGGGGCTCTCGGACCATGCCAGGGGCTCCAGGGGCACCCTCCCGTTCCCTGTGTGGCAGAAGGGGCCAGTTTCTGTCGTGCACCTTGCCTGCTGCTTCCCCTCGTACACTGAGGCCAGCCCTCCGATTGTCGCTCAAGTGTTCAGAATCACTGCACAGCTGTGCACCAGTGAGCGCCTCCTGTTGTCGGCAGCTGCCCAGTGCTCCGTGTGAATACGCTCCACAGGGACTTCCCACACGCCTGTGTCCCAGGCTTGATGCGGGATGCTGTCGGGGACCCCTGTGTTCTTGGGGTTCGGGGTGTGTCTTCATGAAATTAGTACAGGGTCCAGTGCTGTGCCACATTTATGTCCCGGCTGCTCCGCTTCCTATCCAGCTCCCTGCTCTGCCCCTGGGAAAGCACTGAGACGGCTGTGGAGTGCGGGCCGTGGGAGCGGCTGGGGTCGCTCCTAGCTCCTGCCTCGCTTCAGCCTGGCCCAGCGCTGCCTGTTGCGGCCACTGCGGAGTGAAGCAGCACGCTCCACCTTTCTCTCTAACTCTGCTCTTCAAATAAAGAAGTCTCGGAGCACACGCTCAGTGCCCCAGGGGACACTCCACGCACCAGCACCCGGGCACCTCTTTGCCCACAGCCTGGGTGGTCGGGGACCCTGCACCCGTGTGGGAAGCCTTGGAAGGCTCCTGGCTCCTGGCTCTGGATCGGCACAGCTCTGGCCATTGTGGCCACTTGGGGGGTGGCCAAGTGGATGGAGGATCTTCCTCTCTGTCTCTCCTCTCTATAGATGTGACTTTGCAATAAAATAAGTAACAATCTTTTGTTTTAAATTTTTGAAAAGGGTTTCTCTATGGGTGCTCAGTGGACACCCAGCTCTTCTGTCTGTGGCGTCTGGCCCTCCCCGTGCAGCTTTGGTACCAGTAGCCTGGGTTCAGAAGAAAAGGCAGTGACAGCTGCCCTCCCTGGGGTCGCACCTCGTGTGTGCCGTGTGGGAGAGCTGGCGGCTGTGCTGTGGCCAGCCTGTCAGGGACAAATGACAGGGGGCACTGCTGCTCAGTTCCACTCTATTTCTTTTTCTTTCTTTCTTTCTTTTAAGATTTGTTAATTTTGAAAAGTCAGATTTATAGAGAAGGAGAGACAAAGAAAGAAAGATCTTCCATCTGTTGGTTCACTCCGCAATTGGCCATAACGGCCAGAGCTGAGTCGATCTAAAGCCAGGAGCCAGGAGCTTCTACGTGGTCTCCCTTGTGGGTGCAGGGTCCCAAGGCTGTGGGCCGACCTCCACTGCTTTCCCAGGCCACAAGCAGGGAGCTGGATGGGAAGTGGAGCAGCTGGGCACAAACCCTGTCCACGTGGGATCCTGGCAAATGCAAGGTGAGGATTTTAGCCACTAGGCTACCATATTGGGCCCATATTGTATTTTAAGGTAGTAATTTGTTTCATGTTGTTTCTTTTTTAAACTAGGCTTTATTTTTTTTTATTATTTTTCAAATTATTATTGTTTCATGATGCTGCTCCGCAGGAAGCTGCTAAGGCAGCAGTGTCGCCCTCTGTCGCACTGCGCCCCCCGCTGGTGCTTTCGTGTACCTGCAGGGCGATGGGCATTTGGTCTGTAATTTCCATGTTGGTTTTTTGGGGTTTTGTTTGGATTTGGGGGGCTTGTCTTTTCTTCCTTGTACTTAGCTCTGTGAAGGACGGTTTTTAATCTCCAGGTGGCAGAGCCTTTCCTGTTCGTGGCTCCTTTGGTTTTGCGTTTTGATCAGTATTGTTTATGTCTTTCTTCTCAGAGAGGCCACGGCAGCTGGTAGGGCCGCTGCGCATCGTCTTCGTGACTTACGTCTGGGCTCATTTTGTCTGTGAGGGTTTTTATTTGACAAGCAGAGACACAGGAATGAGAGCCCTGCCGTTTGCTGGTTTGCTTCCCGGATGCCTGTGGCCCCAGCACTGCGGCAGCTGGAAGCTGGGAGCATAGAACTGGATCAAGTGTGCCTCACCCGGGCAGGGGCTAGCCCCGACCCTTGACCCCTGCTGTTAGCCAGAAGCCAGGCTGCAGTGGGCGCTGGCCCAGCAGTGCCCTGGCTGGTGACCACGTGACTCTGCTGGTGCCCCCCGCCCCCATGGAGGTGTTGTGTGCACTGCCAGTGAGTTACTGCAGCGCCCGCTTCCCAGCTCCGTGTCGGACAGTGAAGTCCTCCCTCCCCTTTTAAATATTTATTTATTTAAATATTTAAATGTTATTTTTTTATTGGAAAGTCAGATTTACAGAGAGGAAAGACAGAAAGATCTTCCATTTGCTGGTTTACTCCCCAAGTGGCCAACAATTGCCAGAGCTGAGCTGATCCGAAGCCAGGAACCAGGAGCTTCACCTAGGTCTCCCATGCGGATGCAGGGGCCCAAGGCTTTAGACCGTCCTCCACTGCTTTCCCAGGCCACAGGCAGGGAGCTGGATGGGAAGTGGGGCAGCAGGGACACGAACCAGCGTCCATCTGGGATCCTGCAAGGGGATCTGGCCCGTGCAGGGGGAGGATCAGATGCTGAACTGTCTCAAGTCCTCTGCTGGCACTGCCCTCATCTTGGTGCTTCCTGAGCCTTCGCTCAGCATCTGCTCTCCCTGCACTGTAGCCCTGCGTCTGGCTTGTGCTGCCATGGCCGTCCGTGTGCCCCCTGGAGTCCCCGTGGTGCCCCCCGGTGTCCCCGTGGTGCCCCCCGGGTGCTGCCCAGCTCCCAAGCTGCCTGTATTGCTTTGTGTGCCACACGGATGCCGCTTTCTCCCATGGATGTGTTTTCTTTGCTCCTTTTTTCCTGTAAAATTGTTATAGCTGAAAATTTTCCTTACCATCCTAGTTGCAGCCCTGTCTGGTTGCTCTGCCAACCTGCTGTGCCAGTGTTGGGGACTTCTGTGGGGTACCCACTGGGCCTCCGTTCTGCCTTCATCTATAACTGCCCCACCTTTTTCTCTGTGTCCCTCAGCACGGGCAGCACCTCTGGGCGCAGGTGTGTGGTACTTGCCGGGACCGCCCTTGCTCAGGCCATGTGCCATGGGTGACGCAGTCCCGGCCTGAGAGCCCGTGAGTGTGGCCTGCTGCTGAGTGGGCACACTCCGATGCCAGGGGCGATCCTGGGCAGGTCTGTGGGCACATCGTGGTGTTCTTGAGCTTGCTTTTCCACCTGCCACATTGTGGCATATTGCCAGGAGGTGGCCTGGGGGAGGGAGTACAGGGGCCAGCAGCAGGAATGGGGCTCGCAGAGGCCTTGGGCCAGGTGCAAACACAGGGTGGCAGTGTGGGTTAAGACATGCCAGCAACACCATGTGCCTGCTTCGGAGCCAGTTCAAATCCCAGCTGCCCTGCTTCCAGTCCAGCTCCTTGCCAGTGCGCCTGGAAAGGCAGCAGAGTCGGCCAGGTGCTCAGCCCTGCTGTCCGCGCTGGAAATCCTGGTGAAGCTCGTGGCCCTCACTCAGCCTGGACTTTTGTGGCCGTGGTGGCCATCTGGGAGTGAACCAGCAGACAGGAGATGGCTTGCACTGTCCCTTTCTCTGTTGGTCACTCTGCCTTTCCAATAAGAGAAATGTTCCAGAGTAACATAGAAGCTAGACCCGAGGAGCTGGGCGGCAGGTGGTGGACTGTGGCCCTCAGAGCAGACGGGCAGAGCTGTGCACCTCTGGACTTTAGCTCCACCGCTGTGGCCTCAGGCAGGAATCGTGGGGCTGATGGCAAGGAAGAGGAATGGCAAGCAGCTCTGGGTGGCATTTTCTGTGAGCCGACAGACACGAAGACATGTCAGTGGTGTTAGCACAAGTGGGCAGGGGCCATCCCTGTGCACGGATGGGCCTGACCAGCGCCGGGGGGTGCTGCGGGGTCTCAGGCGGAGGGTGACCTACCAAGCCACACTGAGGTCAGGGCAGGGCAAGAAGTCAGCTGAGGCAGGAGTGCAGTTGTTCCTGCCAAGGCTGCATTTCCGACCCCCCTCTGGGCCCTGGGGCAAACCGCCCTGGCAGGGCCGTGCTCACCTGCTGTCATGGCCAGGGCGCCCCTGGGGTTAGCTTCTGCTGGCGCTGTGCCCCAGCACTCTGGGGCTCAGGTGTGGGGTGTGGTCTCCCTCGAGGGGCCCTGGCCCCTGGGCTGCCTTACCTGAGCATAGGAGGTCACGTGAACATGCTGCGGTCATCTGACCTGCCTCCCGTGCTGCTTGCTTCTTACAGATGACGTTTTTCTGCCCAAAGACATCGACCTGGACAGTGTGGAGATGGACGAGACGGAGCGGGAAGTGGAGTACTTCAAAAGGTAACGAGGCGCCGTGGCCGCCCGGCGGCAGCATCTGCAAGGGTCCCTGCCGTGTGCCTGTGTCACAGCAGCCGGCTGCTGTCCTCGCAAGAGCAGGTCACAGGTCTGCCCTGCTTCCGTAGTAGGCTCTTCCAGTGCTGTATTTAATGATGTTCTGTTACGTGAGTCCTGGCAACAAAGGAAACTCTAAGATGGGTTGATTGCATGAAAGGCAGAGCAGTGGAGGGGGAGACGGACGCCCTGGGCGCCGGCAGCAGCCGGGGAGCGCAGCGAGGAGCGCACAGGGAGCCAGGGGTGCCCGGGATGCCGGGTGGCACAGCCGCACAGGACCAGCCCAGTAGCAGTGTGCTTTGTCACACTGCATTGTGTGAGATGCATTTTCGTTCCAGAGAGGAGGAGTGACAGATAATCTCCGTCCGTGGATTCACTCCCCACGTGGCCAGGCCACAGCCGGGAGCCAGGTGCCCCGTGTGGGTGCAGGGTCCCAGGGCTGTGGGCCGCATGGGGAGCTGATCAGACCAGGATTTGAACCATCACCCATAAGGAATGCCAGCACTAGCAGATCCAAGATTAGCCAGTTGAGCCACCATGCTGGAATAACAAATGCATTTTTTTTTAAAGATTTATTTATTTTTATTGGAAAGGCAGATATACAGAGAAGAAGATCTTCCATCTGATGGTTCATTCCTCAAGCGGCCACAGCGGCTGGAGCTGAGCCAATCCAAAGCCAGGAGCCAGGAACCTCTTCCAGGTCTCCCACATGGGTGCAGGGTCCCAAGGCTTTGGGCCATCCTTGACAGCTTTCCCAGGCCACAGGCAGGGAGCTGGATGGGAAGTGGAGCTGCCGGGATTAGAACCGGCACCCCAAAGGGATCCCATGAGGATTTAACCACTATGCTGTCGCACTGGGCCCAACAAATACATTTTTTTATTTTATTTTTTATTTTTTTAAGATTTTATTTTAATTTTATCGGAAAGGCGGATATACAGAGAGGAGAGACAGAGAGGAAGATCTTCCGTCCAATGATTCACTCCCCAAGTGAGTGCAACGGCCGATACTATGCCGATCCGAAGCCAGGAGACTCTTCCGGGTCTCCCATGTGGGTGCAGGGTCCCAAGGCTTTGGGCCGTCCTCGACTGCCTTCCTGGGCCACAGGCAGGGAGCTGGAAGGGAAGCAGGGCTGCCGGGATAGAACTGGCGCCCATATGGGATCCCAGGCGTGCAAGGCGAGGACCTTAACCACTTGCGCCACTCGCCGGGCCCAACAAATACATTTTTAAAGCCCTAAATATTTGGAGATCTAAACAGGTAAAACTAAATAATTGCAGGGCAGGTAGGAAAATTTAGTGGATGCTGTCTGCCTCTCAAGTGAATTAATTTTTAAAAAGCAGAAATTTAAAAAATTATTTACAAATTAGAAATGAATTTTAGAAGTCTGAGGGACAAAGCTCGTTTCCAGACGAGGCAGAGGTGCCGTAATCGGGTCAGGAGGGCGGCGGCGTCCGGACCGTGGCCTGCAGAGGGAAAGTGCATCTTGTGGGTGAGCGGTGAGAAGGAAGAAATAACGACAGACACTGCGGATATCAGGACAGCCTGGGACTTGATCTTCCAACCTGAAATAAGACTCTGAATCAAGCCCAGGCAGGTCGCGACAGCCTGGCTGGCCCGGGGCTCCTGAAGACATCGCAGCCACGCCCGAGGGAGCCCCGACCTGCCGGGCTTCAAGAAGGGGTTGTGCAGCGTGAGAGCGCAGATGCCACAAGTAACATGGTGATGCAGAATCGGCCCAGAATAAGTAGAGGGCCTGGCGTGAGCCTAGTCGGGATCCCATATGGGCGCCGGTTCTAATCCTGGCAGCTCCACTTCCCACCCAGCTCCCTGCTTGGGCCTGGGAAAGCAGTGGAGGACGGCCCAAAGCCTTGGGACCTGCACCCGTGTGGGAGACCCCGAGGAAGCTTCTGGCATCAGCCTGGGCCAACGCTGGCCGTCGTAGCCATTCGAGGAGTAAACCAGCAGAGGGAGGTCTGATCTCTCTAAGTGCCTTTCAGAGAACTAAACCTTGAGAACAATTTGTAAAAGCAGCAAGCACTGGCACTCCTTGCAGTTGGCTGGGTGAAGACTTGGAGGGTCTTTGCTGCCGTGGTTTAACCTGTGAGACACCTGCTCTGGCTCCTCAGGACTTGGGGCCCTGCTGATTGCTGGGGCGCAGAGGGCAGCATGGCACAGGGTGCTGAGCTGGTCGCAGGGGCCCTGGCGCATGTGTCCCAGCAGCCTGTCCTCCAGGGTTGGGGCATGTAAGGGCTCGAGTGCTGGAACCCCATCTCGCTTCAACACCTGCTTTCCTGGGAGGGAGTCTGCTCCTGGGGTCCCGGGTCTGATCACGTGGTGCCACAGGCAGCAGGGATGGTCTCAGGGCTGGGGTCTGTTACCCACCACTCTGGAGCCAGTACCTGGGCCAGCCCTGGCTGTTGGGAGCATTTGGGCACTAAACCCACTCACGGGGACATAGGTCTCTTACCCTCCCCCTCGAATGAATAGAAAGGAGGAATAAGGAAGTAGTTGGAGGACAGTTTGTGATAGAAACCACGTTTCACCCGTCGATGGAGTTTTATCAGAACGTGTCTGAGTGGCTGTCGCTGTAGCTTGGCAGTTTGCCAGGGAAGCACCTGCTGGGAAACTCCCTGGGCAGCCAGTCAAGGCTGAGGTCTCCCAGCTGCCCCGCTGTGGCGCTCCTGTCCCAGGCCCTGCTGGCATTGTCCTGGGGCCCCACCCAGCCTGAGGAGCTGCCAGGCCCCCGCCTGGAGACGGGAGGCTGCCCTTGCCAGTGACCTCCAGTTTGTGTCTTGGCAGGTTCTGCCTGGATTCGGCTAGACAGACCCGACAGAGGCTGTCCATCAACTGGTCCAACTTCAGCTTGAAGAAGGCCACCTTCGCGGCCCACTGACCAAGGAGCGCCAGGCGGAGATGAAGGTGGGCCGGGCCATGCTGCCCTGTGAGCCAAGCCCTAGTCAGCCGGCCTGGAGCCAGGGTGCTCGAGGAGCCGCCGCCCGGCCGCGTCGTTAGCTGTGTGCGTGTAGTCCGTGACACTTCCTTGACCGTAGCCCCGTGCTGTCAGAGTGCACCAGTAGCCCCGCCGAGTCCTCCTGCGCCTGGCTGTGGCCAAGACAAGTATGCGCCACCCACGGGGCCGTCGCCTCTGCATCCTGCCCTGTCCTGTCCTTGGTCCCTGCCCGCCAGGGGGTCGGCTGCCACCCAGCTCCCGTGAGCCCCTGCGCCCCCAGGCGGGTCTCCACTGTCCACTGTTTCTGAGTGTACACGTTGCGTGTCTGTGTCTGACCCTGCCCGTAGCCAGCTCGTGTGCGACCCTGCAGAGTGAGTGGAACACGAGAGACCGCCCAGCGCTCACACCGTCCAGTCCGTTCTAGTGTGCGGCTGTATTAACACGGAGGCCTGCCTGGCTACTTTTTAACATATTGTTAAGTGATATTAAAATCATGTCTTTCTTTTTGAAAGATGGAACATATGAGTACAGCAGGAGACCTCGTCTGCTTGCTTTCGACTGGAGGGTGGGCCGGGGACCTTCGTGTGCCTGGGCCCAATGTGTGCAGCAACCCCGAGTGGCAGCTGCGGGGTTCTGGTACCTTAGGGACTCCAGTGCGCCAGGGCAGAGCTGGGCAATGCCCATCTAAGCCACAAAGCTACAGGTGGGGGGCTGGGACCTCAGGTCCTGACAATGTGGCTGCAGGGGAGTGTGGGATGCTGGCTAGGTTCCCCAGGACCTTGCATGGTGCCCAGCCACATGGGGGTCATGGGGGAAAGCCAGGTGAGCAGCATTGGTGAATAAGGGGTGCCCGTGTCTGAGCTGCCCAGTGTCCTACGGGGACCAGGTCCAGGCAGTTGCTTGGCCAGGAAGAGGTGGGCGGAGCTTCTGGGGTGACCCAGAAGCCGCACCTTGGGGTGCAGCCTAGAGTTGCTTGCTGTTCACAGGGAGGGGGTGGCTCACGGCGGCCAGTGGCCATGGGGCTCCCCAGGGGCTCCAAGGGGACATTAGGCCAGTGACCCAGAAGAGGGCTGGATGTGTGGGAGGCAGAAGGGTGCGCCCTGAGGGGCAGAGACACGCTGCTCCCTGGCCTGTCTTCCCAAGAGGTCAAGTGCTGGGGCCACTCTGCCAACAGGCAGGGCCAAGGCGCCCTGGGCCTTCCCCTGGCCAACCCTCCACTGCCCGGAAACCATCTTGAAGGTGCCTCAGGGCTCCCAGGTCTCTGCTTCAGCATCTCCGCGTGTATCCGGGCTGCCCCTCAAGGACCAGACAAGGAGCCCAGCAGGGAGCTGGACATGCATGGTGACAGTCACTCGCTCGTGTTAATCTACAAGCATGCTCTCACACATGCAGCACATCCGTGAGTTTACATGCACACGCATACAACATGCGATTGTACTTGGTCATCAGTGTGGGCCTGCACAACGTACTCATGACCGTTAGTGAATTTTATGGAACCGCAAAGGAGTGTTTTTAGTTCCATTCATGAATTTGCTTAAAGGGCAGAAGGAAAGCAAAACCCCCATGGGCAGGCTGTGCCCACAGCGGGCCGGCACCTGGGAAGGGACAGGCCCAGCAGGCCGACACCCGGAAAGGTACAGGCGGGAAGGGACAGCAGGCCGACATCCCGGGAAGGGACAGCAGGCCGACATCCCGGGAAGGGACAGTCCTGCTGCGGGCAGACACCCCGGGAAGGGACAGCAGGCCGACATCTCGGGAAGCTCCCTGCCACAGCTTTCCAAGGTCAGAATGACTGGATTTGACTCGCTGCCCAAGATGCCGGGATTGAAGTCACTGCCACTGCACCTTGTGGGGCGTGGAGTCTGACCCCAGGGGCACAGCCCAAGATGAGATGGGTGGGCTCTAGGGCTGCCCCACAACTGCAGGAGTTTGAACTGAGGACCACTGCTGGGATGCCCGCATCCCTGTCAGGGCACCGGTTTGAGTCCAGCTGTTCTGCTTCCAATCTAGCGCCCTGCTAACATACTTGGGAAAGCAGCAGAGGATGGCCAAACTGCGTGGACTCTCATACCCACAAGGAGACCTGGATGGCGCGCCTGGCACCTGGGAAATGAACAAACAGGAGTTCTTCCTTGCACGTGCACTCGCTCTCTGCTTCTCCAATACATCGTTTCCTAGTTTTCTTAAATTTTTTTAAAAAGATTTATTTATTTCTATTGGAAAGGCAGGTTTACAGAGAGGAAAGACAGATCTTCCAACCACTGGTTCACTCCCCAATTGGCCGCAACAGCGAGAGCTGTGCCAATCTGAAGTAGGAGCCAGGAGTGTCTTCTGGGTCTCCCACGCAGGTGCAGGGTCCCAAGGCTTCGGGCCATCCAGTGCTGCTTTCCCAGGCCACAGGCAGGGAGCTGGAAGGGAAGTGGGGCTGCCGGGACACAAACCGACACCCACATGGGATTCCAGCACATGCAAGGCCATCATGCCAGGCCTAGTTTTCTTAAATATTAACACTCAAACAGATGTGTAGCTGAGTGTCCCAGGAACCGCTGATCTAACTGGGAGCCCCTAGAGTCCTGTGGAGGACACGCCCTGGAACCTCAGTTGTGGCAGTGACACATGGCATGGAGGTGCGTGGCCAGGCAGCAGTGCACACAGGCTCACGGAGTCAGCAGAAGGGCCTGATGATATGGCACAGCGTCGGGGACTGCAGTCCAGGCCTGGCTTGAAGGGACTGACCCCAGCTGCAAGTGCCCTGTCTCCACAGTGTATTTTGTTTATTTTAAGATTTATTCTTATTGGAAAGGCAGGTTTTACAGAGAGATACTGAAAGGAAGATTGTCAGTCTGCTGGTTCCCTCGCCAGGTTGCCATAACGTCCAGAGCTGAGCCAGTCCGAAGCCAGGAGACCAGAGCCTCTCCCGGGTCTCCCTCATGGGTGCAGGGTCCCAAGGCTTTGGGCCGTCCTCGCCTGCTGGGTCTCCCACACAGGTGCAGGCAGGGAGCGGGATGGGAAGTAGGGCAGCTGGAGCACAAACTGGTGCCCATATGGGATCCTTGGTGCATACCACTATGCTACCACACCAGGCCCTGTCCCCACGGCATTTTAAGGTGGGCACCCACAGCTGTCCTCAACCAGGTTACAGTTCAGCGGGAGGGCCCACAGTGGGCATCTGAGGAGAGGCCCAGCAGATGGAAGCACTATCTCTGCCTTGAGTGAAAATAATAAATGCTTGAACTTTCCATCTTGACACACTGGGAAAACCGCCAACCAGGCCTGAAGCCAGGAAAGCAGAGGTCACAGAGGTTAGATAAGCAACTGATGAAATAGTAGGAAAGAGATAGAATGAATGAAGCCAAAGCTTCAAACCACAGGCTCAGCAGCTCCTCAATGAGAAGGCCAAAGAAACGAGAAGACACAAGCTTCAGACAAGTCAGAGTGCAGAGGCCCGACCACTGGGACAGAGGACAGCGCCAGCAGGTCGGCTTGCTGGAGGGATGTGCAGCCCAGGGGTCGGCCTGGCCAAGGCTCTGTAGGAGCAGGGACTGGTGGGCAGGGCACGGCGTGGCCCGCACGAGGGCTCCACTGCTTCGCCCAGGCCTGGGCTGGCTGCAACATAAGACCAGAGCAGCCGTACAGCCCGCCCCGGGCTGCACAGCAGCACCCCGCTCCCAGAGCCACGAGGAGCAGAGTTCCAGACAGGCGATGTGGGAGCGAGCAGACTCCAGGAGTTGTCCCACAGTGGGGGCAGGAGCTGAAATGGTGACTTGGAATGGGCTGATAAGACCGAGTAACAGGAGAGGGAGAAGAGCAGTCTCCCACCCACGGTCCCTCTCAGGTGTTAGCACAGAGCAGGGCAAGCGGACCAGAACTTGCTTTTCCAGGCAGAGGAGCGGGGGCTTGAACCAGTATTCCAGTGTGGTTTGCTGCATTCCCCGGAGCTGGCTTAACTCATCCGTGACAGCCTTGTGGCTAAATCCTCACCTTGCATCTGCCAGGAATCCATATGAGTGCTAGTTCGTGTCCTGGCTGCTCCACTTTTCATCCAGCTCCCTGCCTGTGGCCTGGGAAAGCAGACAAGGATGCCCTAAAAAGCCTTGGGACCCTGCACCTGTGTGGGAGACCCTGAGGTGGCTCCTGGCTTCAGATCGGCTCAATTCGGAATGTTGCAGCTGCTTTGAGAGTGAATCAACGGACGGAAGATCCTCTTGTCTCTCCTCCTCTCTGTATATGACTTTTCAATAAAAATAAATCTTCTAAAAAATTTAACTGAAAAGACATCCAGAAATCCTCACCACTGAACCGTACCATAGGGTTCAGTGAAGACCAAGTCCCAGTCCTTACAGACACGTGACAAACCCAGTTCCTTGGGGGCAGTGTTGTGGTGTAGAGGCTGAAGTTGCTGGCTGCAGTGCCAGCTTCCCTCATGACTCCCAGTTCAAGTCCCAGCTGCTCCACTCTGAGCCAGCTCCCTCATGCACTTGGGAAGCTCGGAAGACAGTGCAAGGGCCGCCTGTGTGGGAGGGCCCGGTCCAGCCCTGACACACCCGTTCGGAGGAGCCAGCAGACAGGCTGCCTTCCCGCTCAGCACCTCTTCTCAACGAAACATAAAGTGGTAGAGACATAAACAGTAAAGACGAGTGAGTGGAAGCCTCTGGAGCCGTGCAAAGCACACCTACCAAACAATGTAGCTCAGTGGCGAATCACCCGAGCAAGTGAGGCTGTCGGCCGCCGCAGCTTGCAGGCAGTGTCGCAGGCACTGGGCGCATTGGCGAGATGCAGGGTAGAAGTCCAGACTGCAGAGACAGGTACCACTGCAGCAGTGTGCAGAATCCACTAGCCCTGAGCGAGGTGAGTACCAGGAGTGATGGAGGGGGCGCAGTGACATGAGCTCCTGCCTGCAAGGCCAGTGTCCCTCAACAGAGAGCTGCTCCACTGCCTGTCCAGCTCCCTGCTTGGGCACCTGGGCAGGCAGAAGATGCCAAGGAGCTCCTGGCTGCTGTCTGGCTCTGGCCCAGCCCCCGCTGTCATCAGCACTTGGAATAGTAGATGGAAGGTCTTCCTTCTGCCTTCAAAACAAACCAACCCCAAACTTCTTGTAACTCAGGGAAAAGAAGGTCCAGTACTGGGAGGTGGGCACACGGGTGGTTGGGGCCCACCTGCTGGGGGGTGCATGGGCGGTCGGGGCACCCTGTGCGTCCCCGCTGGGCATGACCCACTGAGGACAGTGGCAGTCCCTGCATGTTGTGCACGTCCAGATGTCAGATCAACACCACACACACGTGTGCAGTGTCAGGCAGCAGAGCACCCAGAGTGGCCAGTCGCAGCAAGTGTCGGGGCAGGGACGAGGCTGCCAGCCCAAGGACGCAGCGCCCCCTTGGGGCAGTGAGCTGCTGATACCTGCGCACCCCAAGCTGCCGAGACCCCATGGACTCTTGCCCCATTTTTTTAAAAAAAATTTATTTCTTCTACTGAAAGATTTACAGGAGGCAGATCTTCCATCTGCTGGTTCACTCCCCACGTGGTCACAACAGCAGAGCTGAGCCCATCAGGAGCCAGGAGCCTCTTCCAGGCCTCCCACGTGGGTGCAGGGTCCCAAGGCTTTGGGCCATCCTCCACTGCTTTCCCAGGCCACAGGCAGGGAGCTGGATGGGAAGTGGGGCTGCTGGGACTAGAACCAGCGCCCATATGGGATCCCGGTGCTTTCAAGGTGAGGAGTTAGTTACTGAGCCATCGGACTAGGCCTTAACACGTCTTTTTGATCAATGAACCATTTGAGGGGATTCGATTCAACTTACCGTGTTTTGTAAAATTTCTGCCACCCCCACACCATGTACTTGTAACTGATCCATGGGCGAAGAAACATACCACAGTGGAAATCAGATGTGTGTCTGTCTGCCAAAGATATATCCATTTCTTTATCTGAACAGTACAGTAGTGGAGCTCAGAGAATGGATACAAAGATCTAAGGCACCAACTTTGCTCCTGGGGTTCCCCGAGCTCCCCAGGCCTGAAGCACCCCCATCCCTCCCGCCCAGGACCCCAGCTCCGTGGGCCTGAGCTTTCTGTGGCATGGCTGGGGCCCCCAGAGCAGTGACCCCCCGAACCACCAGACAAGGACCTACGCAAGTGGAGAGGGGGCCTGTGGCAGGCAGCCAAGAGTCCGAGCGCCTCTGCCTGCAGGCGTGGGGGTCCTGAGCACTGCCCGGCCTGCGTCCCCCAGGAACCCTCAGAGCCAGCACAGCAAGTACGTTAGTTACAGAAATTTGAAGGTACACAGCACGTGCTGCCCCCGCTGGGGGGGGCCAGGCCAAGTCCTCAGTGTAGACTCGGGGAAGTGGGGGGACCCCACCCTACAAGGATGGGAGCAGCACCCTGGTCCCTAAACACTCCAGCAGCAGAGTGCCCACAGCTTCAGCCTGGGGCCCCGCCCCTAAGGCCCCCCCCAGCAGCATGTCTCCACTAGGGCTTGTCAGCCTGGGTGGAGAACCAACGTGCACAGCCACCACGGCGATCCCACTGCGAGGGGCCGTCTGCCTCCTGGGACAGCTGCCCGGGGCGGGGCCGCCAGGCTCCGGTCACTCACAGCCCCCGGCCACGTGCCGGAGCAGTTCTTGGCCCTGCTCGCCAAAGCACCGCAGGCAGTGAGGGCACTGCAGGTCCCCCTTGGCCCCCGGCGCTGCGTTGGGGCCCTGCAGCCCGGGCCTCCAGCCACTGGGCACCGCAGGCTCCGAGGCATCGGTCTCTAGGTACTGGGCAGCCTTGCTCCGCAGGCGGCAGGCGCCCGGCTCTCGCGAGTCCTGGAGGAAAGGTGGCATGGGACAGAGCTGTTGGTGCAGATCCCAGGCCTGGCTTCTTGCTGTCCCCAGCTGAGGAGACGCGTGCAGAGGGCACAGTGTGTTCCCCAGCGGACCCGCACGGGCAGCTCTGTGACACGTCCCCACCTGCCACCACAAGGTGCTGAACACTTGGAAGTGGGGGAGAGGGCACCCCAGCTCTACCCTGTGAGCCGCTCAAAGACACCATCCTGCTGCAGGTAGTGCCCACCACAGCTCTGCTGGGGGCTCAGGCATGCCCACGTACAGCCTGAACTGTTCTTCCTCAGCACCTGCCGCATGGCCCCTGGTCTGCACCTTTGGCAGGCCTGAGGCCTGGCGCCAGCCTGGTCGCCCCTGTATTGCCTGTCCCCAAGGCCACCCTCAAGACTCTTCACCCCAGGTCACATGCTCCCTGGCCAACACGCAGGCCACTCCCCCACACAGGTTGCAAGAGGCTGCTGTTCCCACCAGGGCGAGCTGGCAGATCCTGCCCCAGGCCTGCAGGCCCAGGGTCCTGGGAGAATCCATACCCCCACACTCTGTCATGTGATGCCAAGAGGCTGCCAGTGCTGAGTGGCACTGCTGCGACTGCCAAGGCCCTCGCACCTGCTTGTTACCCCGTGGAACCCCAGAGGGTCCCCTCTCCCCCTCATAGGGAATGATGCCTCTGCCCGGGTCCCTGACAGTCTTAGCCCAAGAGTGTCCTCTGTGATGGCCCAGGGCGGGCCCTCTGTGCCTGCTGTGGCCCTGGGTATGCCGCTGTCCTGTCTGTGATAGGACCCAAAGGCCCACCCCGTGGGAGCCACAGCAAAGGCTTGTGAAGCGGCCAAGGCAGAGACCCTACTGGGGCATCCATGGAGCACTCATTTACTCAGGCAGAGGAAGAGGCAAGGCACCGCAGGGGGCACCACAGGGGGCAGCAGGGGCACTGTGACACGTCACCAGTTGGGTTCACACCAGGTCTCCCCTCAAGGCACTCCCCCAGGAGGGACTCTGAGCCCAAAGCAGGAACAGGCTGACAAGGAACTGGGTCTCTGCCTGGCAGCCGGATGTGCTCTCTGACGGCGTGACAGTGACACACAGGGCAGCCATCCCTGCCAAGCTCGCCCACAGCGATGCCCTGTACAGAAGGTGGATGTGCCACAGGCAACCCAGCAGCCGCAGCAAGCCGGAGGCTTGACGGAGCATCCCTACCTGAGCCTGGGCCAGCTGGCCCAGCAGGGAGGTGACCTTGTCCTCCAGCTCCTCGATCCTGCCGTGGGCCCGTTCCCGGTCGGCCCGCTCTGACCTGAAGTCATCCTTGTAGGTGAGAACCTGCGAACAGAGGAGACGTTCGGGTGGCTCGGGGTGCAAGCCAGCAGCCCAACCGGCGGTCTTGCCTGCAGAGGACGGGACAGGCACCTGCTGCTCCAGCACCTGGACCCGTTCCAGCGTGGCCTCCTGGGCCGTCCTGGCTGCGGCCAGCTGCCGCTTGACCTCCGTGCAAGCACGGATCTTCTCCTCCAGCTGCGTGTTGAGCCGGGCAATCTCCTTCCGCAGCAGCGCCAGCTCCCGCTGCACATACTCGTCCCGGCTGGCATCGTAGCGCTGCCACTTGGCATTGAGGTCTTCCACCTAGGGGCACGGCCAAGGGGGCGAAGCGGCAGAGCACACACTGAGCCCACTACGGGGACTGAGACCCCGCAGGGACTCACAGGCAAAGGGGGACTGGAGGCCATTTTCCTGCCTGGACACAGAGTCTGCCTCTAACTATTTCAGTATTAAAATCTATATTATATATAGATTTTTTTGAATGGGGCCAGCAGTTTAATCTGCCTGCTTTCAGCATCCCATATGGGCGCCAATTCATGTCCTGACTGTTCCACTTCCTCCCTAGCTTCCCGCCTGTGGCCTGGCACAGCAGCAAAGGATGGCCAAGGATGTAGGACCACCCACCGCCTGGTTTTGGCGTGGCCCAGCCTGTGGCTGTGGGCATGTGGGCAGTAAATCTCTAACTCTGCCCTTCAAATAAGAATGAATACTTCAAAAAATTCAAAAACGGGGACCACTGAGCACCTCCCTTAGCAACTTGTGAATGAACGTGAAGGGATGGAGGGGAATGGGACGGGCCAGAAGGCTGGTTCGCTGGGCGCACCTGCGCTGGGCAAGGGGCAGCGTTCTCAGGGCCCTGCACTCACGTGAGCCACTTTCTGCCTTAGCAGCCGGTTCTCTTCCTGTAACTTCTCCACCACAGCCTGGGTGGAGCTCTCCGTGCCCTCCGGCTGCAGGAGAAGAGGCAGAGACGGCGGTCACAGACTGACACAGAGCGGGACTGTCCCTCGGTGACGCCGGCTCGGAGAGTCCCCTCTGCTGACAAGGAAGCCCCGGTGACTCAGGGCACCCACTCGGACCGTGACCGGGTCTGGGCCGGCTGCCTACGGTGGGCGACTTTCAAATCCCCAGAGGGAATGCCATGGGCACATCTCCCCAGGGACTTTGAGTTTCTAGAACCCAGGCATGTTCTCTGTGGGGTTCCCTTTTTGTGGAGTCTGTCCGGCTAAAAACATGAGAGACCCCTGGACCAAGACTGCCCAATGGGTACATAAGTTGCTGCTGGCATAGACACCCCATGCCCCATGACTGACTGGAGGGGCCTGATGCCAGACACGGTGGGTGGGGAGAAGCCCAACACTGACCCCCACTATCCACCAGGAGCCAGCCCAGTGACCTCAGCCCTTTCTGTTCAGGGGGCTCCCAGGTTGCTGGGGGACCAAAGCACCATCCCCCCTTGAGGGGGCACCCGCCCCGGTGGTCATGCAGGGAGCTAGCCACCTGCCACAAGCTTCGCCCAGCAGCTGACTCGACTGAGGGTGTGGGTGCCCTCCCATGCCCAGGGGGGTCCGGGGTGGGGGGCATCATGCTACACCAGGTCTCCCCCCACTCCAGCTGCTCCGCGACCTGCCTTGTCACAACTCTGTTCCCTCGTGTCCACTGTGTGCCCCTGGGCATGCTGCTGCTCCTCCAGACGCCTGGCCAGTTGCTGGCACATGTGGGCAGTGGCAGCCAGCGTCCTGCGCAGCTGGTGGGTCTCGTGGGCCAGGGAGCGGCACAGCAGGTGGCTGGCAGCCTGGGCCCGCTCCTTCTCGGCCACACTCCTCCGCAGCAGGAGCACTTCCTTGTCCGGGTCCCGCTGCGGCGGCCTCACCAGCTCCTGGAGCTCCTGCTCCTTTACTTCCAGCTGCTGGGAGAGCCTCGCCACCTCCTGTGGGAAGACAAGAGCCGCGCGGAGAGCCTGCGTCCCTGGCTCCTAGCTGCTTTTTTTTTTTTTTTAAGATTTTATTTTTATTGGAAAGTCAGAGATACAGAGAGGAGGAGAGAGAGAGGAAGATCTTCCATCCGCTGACTCATTCCCCAAGTGACCACAACGGCAAGGCGCTTCCTCTGGGGATGCAGGGTCCCAAGGCTTTGGGCCAGCAACTGCTTTCCCAGGTCATAAGCAGGGAGCTGGAAGGAGGTGGGGCAACTGGGATTAGAACTGGTTCTGTATGGGATGCAGCCTGCCAAGCAGCAGCTTAACCTTCTTCCCCTGCTCCCCCTTTTTTTGGAGGTCAAGTGAGACAGGCCCAGAGCGAGAGCGCCAAGAGTGGAAACAGACTGGGTCTTCCTGTGAGTGCCTGGAGCCTGAAGCCCCCTGAGGGCTGTGTTAGCACAAAGCTGAGCTGCGGCCTGGCACAGCAGCAGCATAGCAGCTGGAGTCCTCGCCTTGAACACGCTGGGATGCCATATCGGCGCCAGATCTAGTCCTGGCAGCCCCACTTCCCATCCAGCTCCCTACCTGTGGCCTGGGAAAGCAGTGGAGGACGGCCCAAAGCCTTGGGACCCCGCACCCACACGGGAGACCTGGGAGAGGCTCCTGGCTTCAGATTGGCTCAGCTCCAGCCATTGCAGCCACTTGGGGAGTGAATCATCGGATGGAAGACCTTCCTCTCTGTCTCTCCGCCTCTATATATTTGCCTTTTCAATAAAAATAATCTTTTTTTAAAAAAATCTGGTTTCTTTAAAAATTAATCTTAATAAAAATTACAACAGCCGGTGCCTCCCACACAGGTGCAGGGTCCCAAGACTTTGGGCCGTCCTCCACTGCTTTCCCAGGCCACAGGCAGGGAGCTGGAAGGGAAGGGGAACTGCCGGGGTTAGAACCGGCACCCATATGGGATCCCGGCGCGTTCAAGGCAAGGACTTCAGCCGCTAGGCCATGCCACCGGGCCCAATAAAATTACTTATTGAACAGGCAGGGAGAGTGTGTGTGTGTCTCCACTGGCTGGGTCAGGGCTTGGGGAACTCTCAGCCAGGAACCCAACTTGCAGCTCCCACAATGGGGAAGGCCCAGGGTCTGAATGAGCAGAGAACCAGAGCCCAGACATGTAACCGGGACCGCAGACAGCTGAGCCAGTCGGCTGCACCCAATTCCCAAACTATCACCATTTTTAAGACTAAGCTGGGCCCAGCACGACAATATAAGTGGCTAAAGTCCTTGCTTTGCATCACTGGGATCCCACGTTGGCACCAGTTTGTGTCCCAGCTGCCCCACTTCCCTTCCAGCTCCCTGCGGCCTGGGAAAGCAGGGGAGGACGGGTCAAGGCCTTGGGAGCCTGCACCCGTGTGGGAGACCCAGCGGAAGCTCCTGGCTCCGGATCAGCTCAGTTTAGAGATTTCAACCACTTGGGGAGTAAATCGGCAGATCGAGGATCTTTCTGTAAGTCTGCCTTTCCAATAAAAATAAATAAATCTTAAAAAGAGAGAGACTACAAACACCTGAGTGGCTCCTCGGTGGCTGGTTGTGGAGGCTCCGCTGACGGCCCTGCCCTGGCTGGCTGCCCCCAGCTGGGCTGTTCACTTGGAACTGGTGGCGGAAGCGTGCCAGAACCCTGAGCTTTCCTGGTCCCATTCCGGCCCACAAGACCTAGTAAGTGCCAGGGTGACAGTCCACCACGTGGCGCCCAGGGTCCTGCCCTGGGATCATTCAGATTTCCAGCTCTTGCACTGAAAAGCCGAGTTTTCAGCCAGCATGCCCACTCGCCCACTCGCCCACTCCCCTCGCCTAGCATGCCTGGTCCGACCCTGAACTGAGGGCATCCAGCCGCCGACCCCGCCCCGCTGGACGCGAATCCCGCAGCCCTGGGAGGCACCATCAGGCGCCCGCTGCCCAGTCCCCGCAGCCGTCACGGCGGCCACCCTCGCCACGTCCCAACCGTGTGACGTGGCTTCTGGCAGCTCTGACCCTACAGGTGGGTAAGTCAAGCCTCCCAGGACCCAAGCTGGTCCATCTCATTTTCATTCACTTTTCCCGACAGTGGCAAGGTCTCCTTTCTGTCGCCTTCCTGTGCAGCCCAGGCTGAGGCCAGGGACAGGCTGTGGCCGGGCAAGAGCAGAAGCAAGCACCAACAACCCAGACCAGTGGGACCCCCTCCCCTCCCCGAGGGCTGCATGGGACAGCCTCCTGGTGCCTGTCACCTAAGAGAAGGCAGGGTGTAGTTACAAGGTCCAGCGGGCTGGAACAGGGCCAGGAAAGCTCAGTGTCCTGGACCGGCAGGGCCAGGCAGGTGCCAGCTGAGGCTGCCAGGCAGCAGGCGCCCAGTGGATTCACTCCCAAGCTCCACCAGGTCCTGCCTGGGAGACGTGTGCAGAGGCACCGAGCACTGTGTCCCACTTGGCCACCCCGAAGGCCTGTCACACGCCGGCCACACAGGCCCCCCCCCCCCCCCCCCCCCCGTGCTCTCTGGAAGCCCTCCACCCCTAGCAGCCAATGTCCCTGCCGCCAAGCAGCTGGCTGAGGCCACACACCAGGGCCCCTACCAAGGCTGCCTCCTCAGGGACCCCCATTCCTCAGTGTCCAGGGCTGTCCCTGAAGGACGCAGAGAGGAATAAGCGTGTGCCTGCAGATGCCAGTCCATCATGTGGCCCTGGGTCCAGTCCTGGCTGCTCCACGCCTGACCTGGCTCCCGACTGATGGCCGCCGCCCATGTCGGAGCCCTGGTTCCTGGCTCCAGCCGGCCCTGTGCTGGCTGTTGCCCTTAGCAGCAAGAACCAACAGGTGCACTCTTCTCCCTCGCTTTCCGGAACTCTTTCAAAATAAATCAATAAATGAATAAAAAACCGATCACAAGCAGAGGTGGCAGGCTGGAGGTCAGTGATGCTGGGACCACAGACCGGATCTGCTGCCGCATGGCGTCGCCCACCCGCCGGGCTCCCACGCTGGCAAGGGCCTGGCACACTGGGCACGTTCTGGTGAAGGGCTTTCCCAGCACACAGCAGGACCGGGTGCCCCTTGGCAGCCACCCCAGGCCTGAGCCAGTCACCCAGCACTCCGCACTCCCCGGGGGCTGCAGGGGCCCGGGCATCCCATGTGCCCACAGGCACACTCGCTTCAGGGGGCTGCCTCTCACCACACGGCCGAACACCCCCGACAGTGCCCCCCACTCTACTCCCAGTGCTCACTCCCTCACAGCCATCCCTCTCCACTCCCCCCTCCCCCTCCCCCCACTCCCTGACACCCACCCGTGCCCTCCCCACCCACTCCCCCCACTCCCCCACACCCCTCCTGCGCTCCCCAGCGCGCATGCGCACTGACACGCCCGCCCACACCTGGCGCAGCCGGTCCTCGGCGGCCCCGCCCTGTTGGCGCTGCAGCTGCTCCCGGGAGCAAGCCAGCTGCTCGAGCAGCGCTTCCACGAGCGACGGGGCCGCGTGCCCCTCGAGCGCGGCCAGGCGGGCGCGGAGACTTGCGACGAGGGCGTCGCGCGCGGCCAGCTGGCCCTGGAGGTGCCGCAGCTGCTGCTCCGCCTCGTGGTACAGGCCGCAGAGCGTGGCCGCGGCGCGCGGAGCCCCGTCCAAGCCGTCCCCGTCCTCCGACGACATAGCTGCGGCTGCACGGGAGGCCGCGCGGCCACCGGCAACTTCCGCACCGGCCGGCCCTTCTGGAACTTCCCCAGGAGGCCGGGCAACCCCGCCCCCAAGACAGCTGACCCCGCCCCCGTGGCAGTCGGCCCCGCCCCCGCCGGCTGACCCCGCCCCATGCAGCCGGCCCCGCCCCCGTGGCAGCCGGCCCCGCCCCCGCCGGCTGGCCCCGCCCCATGCAGCCGGCCCCGCCCCCCGTGGCAGCCGGCCCCGCCCCCGTGGCAGCCGGCCCCGCCCCCGCCGGCTGGCCCCGCCCCCCGTGGCAGTCGGCCCTGCCCCCATGCAGCCGGCCCCGCCCCCACCGGCTGGCCCCGCCCCCCGTGGCAGCCGGCCCCGCCCCCATGCAGCCGGCCCCGCCCCCGTGGCAGTCGGCCCTGCCCCCATGCAGCCGGCCCCGCCCCCGCCGGCTGGCCCCGCCCCATGCAGCCGGCCCCGCCCCCCGTGGCAGCCGGCCCCGCCCCCATGCAGCCGGCCCCGCCCCCGGTCCACAGCCCCAGGCGCCCCAGGTCCTCTCCCGGGTTGAGGACTCACCGCTGCACCCCGCCCACCCCTTGACTGCAGTTCCCTGGGAATTGGGGTTCGGCAGCCTCTGTGTAGCCACCGATGGGAAGCCAAGAGCCTCGGAGACGACCCCAGGGAGGGAACCCGAGTATGGGTCGGAGTCCGGCCCAGGGTTGGGTGGCGGACGGTAGGAAGAGGGCCACCCCGAGTTCCCAGCGCCAGCCCAGGGTGTGCATTGCGCCTGCGCCGCACACGCAGCTCGCCAGCCCACCTCGGCCTGGGCAGGGGCAGCAGGGAGCCGCTCTTCCTCACGTGGATTCCTGGACAAGAGGCTGGGCCTGGCCAGCCACCATACCAAACGCACAGGGGCCGTGCAAGGTTCCCCGGACCCACGCGCCCCGTCTTTCCCACTCTGTGTGAGCCACAGCAGGCCGGGACTGAGCACACAGTCCCTGAAAGCCAGACCCCGCCAAGTGTGCATGGCCCGAGCTTTCTCAGCAGGTCAGAGGCGGTGCCCCCTGGCAGGGGTGCCAGGGCACCAGGACACGGCGCCCACCCTGGAGCTGTTCGAGGCTGGGCATCTGGGGGCCCTGCCAGGGCAGTGAGGGAACGAGGTGGGGACAGGTGGGCAGGCCGCTTCCTTTCACTGGCCTCCTTCCTTCCCCTTGCACTGGGGTTGGGTCCTGGCTGGGAATCCCTCACCGTGTTGGGGTCTAACCCCACCCACTCAGGGTCAGGCCCTTCTGCAGGCAGACCCTCACCAGCACCCGCCACCACCCCTGCACCCAGCGCCCAGGCCCACAGAACCCAGGGGACAGTGGGAAGGGGTCCCTCCACAGCGTCCACCAGGGGGCAATGTGGCCCCTTGCCTGGGGGACCAGGCCCCGGGCCCGCCTGGTGGCCACTGTACCCTGTCCTCAGCAAGGGATGACCCAGGTGAGGATGCCCCTCCCCTGGCAGGCTAAGGGAGACCTTGCCCCGTGGGGCGGCAGGACTCACAGGAAGAGTATTCAGACACGGTGACAGGTGCAGGGCTGCCACGGGCTGGCGGTGCAGACAAGCCAGAGGAGTGGTGGCCGCTTGGCCCGAGCGGTGTTCACGGGGGTAGGGCACCCGGGACATGTTCGAGGGAGGAGGGCCAGGTGTCTGGAGGTGGAGCTCACAGAACTTGCCCCTGGAAGATTCCTTGGATTAGCCCTAACACCCCCAGAGACGCCGTCCAATTGTTACATTGCAAAGTGCGCTGAAGTAGGTTCTTACCTGCAGCTCATTCCTGCAGCCAAGGCCTCTTCTCACGATTCGTTTGCCGCGAACCGAAATCCCAGACACGATGAGGTGTTAGCAGGTGGGAACGGGAGTGGGGGCGGCAGGGGGACGGACGGGACAGGCTCCTGCCAGGGTGGAACCATGGGGCTGCCTGGGCAGGGGAAGAGAAGGGGTGACGGACAGGCTCGGGCGGGTGGGGCCGGGTCGGGCGTGGGGGTCTCAGGGGAGACGCCTTCGGGCTATACTGCGTCTGTGGATAACCAGAAGTTTGCAAGCAGTGGGAAGAGGGAAGCCAATGTGGTGCCAGGTCCAAAATGGGGTGTGTGAATCACTCCTCGCACCGAGTCCTGGCCCTGCATGGCTGGTGACCACTTAGGACATCCCTGCTCCAAGAATGCCCGCCACTTTACATGGCAAGGCGACCTCTAAGCAGCCAACCTTGGCACAGGACAAGCATGGTGCGAGTGGGCATTGGCATGCGGCTGGTGAAGGAGCTGCTGGCACCTCCGAGAGCCTAAAGGAAGGGCCGTGAGCAGAGGGGTGCTAGGCTACCGTGCTGGACCCTAAATGAAGCACCGACAGGAGACCAGTGATGGTGAAGTCTCCCCAAAGCCTCCCTTTATGACTGCTTATATATTCTTTCCCCCAAGCCCGTCAACCAAACAGGAGGATGCCAGCGAGTCCCATCAGACCAGGTGCTTTTAGCCGCAAGCCCATTTCCCTGTAGTGCTCGGCTTAACGAGTGCTAGTCAACTCCTTAGCCACAGCAGGTCCCCCTTTTGGTTTTAAAGCAGACTTGAATGGGCCTGTCTTAGGTTGTGGACTCAGGTCATCGGGAGTCTCCATGGCATGACGGAGCCCCTGTCTTAGGTTGGTCAGTGCCCGGACCATCTTACCCGTCACTGGCTGCCATTCAGCGCGTTGCCTGCTGCAGCTGCCCAAACCATACTTGGGGAGGCTGGTAACCCTGTTCCATGGCTAGGAATGTTTTTAGCTCAGTAGCAACGAGCAGACAGCAGTTCCCGGGCTTGGGAAACACAGCACTGCATAGGTGAAATATACATAGAGGCATAATGGGGGACAAGAGGCCCTGGCCACAGGAGTATCTTTAGCTCGGCAGCAACGAGCAGACAGCAGTTCCCGGGCTTGGGAAACATTTTGCACTTACATAGGTGTTACACACAAAAAGGCATAATGGGGGACAAGAGGCTTAGACCAAAACTCACAGCATCTGCCGTTCTTTGCCAACAAATCAACCCGCAGTTACAGCGTAAGCGTGCCCACCCCTCATGTTCATAGTAAAGTCCTGTTGTTCCATAACTCTGGCAGTCTGTTCCGCGACCTCGATCACTGTCACCACGGTAGCTGGTGGTGGCGGCTGCTGACTTACGATGGTCGCCATTATGCCAAAGTCTCTTTTATTCTTTATCAGGCCAACAGAGGCCTCTCCGTCAGTCCCAACAGCCACAGGCAGGATTCAGGGTGGCTGCAGGATAACAGCAGAATTGCAATAGCCACTCCAGCATGCTGTCAGGGTGCACTGGAACTCGGTGTCATTCACTTTAGAGGCCTTTTCTGTGTGTAAGAGGGAAACATAGGGATAATACAGGCAGACACAAGTTCAAAATTCAAGGAGTTGAGATTCACCCACGTGAGCGAGTCCTCAAGTCCAGAGGAGTGATGGAACTGATAAATTCTATAGGCATAATTGCATTCCTAAAGAAGGAATGATGGGGTGCGTGCCAGTGCATGTCCACACCCCACAAAGCTGCCACATAGAAAAGGTGGGTATTTTCCCCGTGGTAATAACAGGGGAATGATACGAAAAAACATGAGCAGAAATTGAGCTATTTATAAAGGGAGGGCCAGACCCCCAACAGCTGGGTCGCACACCAGACAGTCTGGTAGTTTGGTTTAAGAAGAAACTGGCAGGAAATATTGGGACCTAGGTGTTCGTAGGAAGAAGACAAAAAGGAGGGGTGCTTAACAAAAGCCCAATATACTTGCTTGTCCCGTCGATCTTCCGATTCAACTGCCATCAGCATGGCCGGTACCCGAGCTTTCACCAGACTCAGCAGCAGGAGCGTGCCGGACAAGCTCTCAGGAATCCACCATGGGCCATTTTCGTTTTCTGGGAAAACACAAACTGAACCTCGCCCCCATATGAGGACGGGGGCTGGGCCTTGCCACTGCCCAGTCAAGGCGTCCTTCCACATCACATAACCCTTCTCCTTATGAGACGGATTCCAATGACGATCTGCTGCTGACCGTCCTTCAGCATCCAGTGTTAGGAAATTTAAGATAAATAATACAAGGTTCAAATGATCTCGGGGAGTGCTACACGCCCCCTTTTTGTTTTGATCAGGTAATCCTTGGTAGTGTGGTTGGCACGTTCCACAACACCTTGTCCTTGAGGATTTTAAGCAGGGGGCCTTTGATCCAAGCTACCAGGTTGCTTACTCTTATAGGGACAGTACAGAGTGAAAACTGTCAGATAATAGCTTTACAAAACATTTATCCCAAAGGCCTACTGCCTGTTATAAATGAGACAGGATACAGGTTAATAATAAACTTAAATATAAATGCATCAATGATGGAATATATTTTTGAAGAGCCTATTAGTAATTTAAATTACATAAATTTAAGAAATCTGTGTTAACTAGTAATCTTATTCAAAGTAAATGGGTTTGTAGCAAAGGTTTAAAATTGTTTAGATGCTTTCACAATCCCATCAGAAAGCTCTGGGAGTGTCTGCAGAATTCAGAGCTCAAGGCAACCTGCTTTTGCTGTTGATACGCAAATTATGTGTCCTGCATTTGCAGCTGAGGATCCAGATAGCTGATGAAACAGATGTATAAATTTACCTGCTTTATAAAATGTTCCCTACAGGAAGTTTAAACTCAATTTACAAAAGCTAGAACATTTTCTGACCAATAAACAGACAGTAACACATTATAACAATTTTAAACAACTTGTACAGAAGACAAACCTTAAGGCACACGTGCGCGCACACACACACACACTTTTGGAGACTTAAAAAATTATTCTCAAACTTAGTAGTAGTGTTCACCAGAAACCAGTAGCTGAAAAGCCATCAAGTAAATAAATAGTCTTGAACCAAGACCTTGCATCAATGCAAGAATGGGGATTTCACTCTTCCCAGTGATACAGCTATGCTAAGAATACGTAGTGACCAACCAG